CGCATTACGGAAAATGCAGAAAAATGTCAAAGGTATTCATCAAGTAGTTTTTGAAAAAAAACTGTTTTCCTCTCAAATTCGTGAAGAGAACGCGATTCACGAATATTTGGCAAAATTGTATTCATAAGACATTCAATAGTGGCTTGATTTTCATGAAATAAAGCATGTTGGTAAGGGAATTCAATCTGTTAAATGATATTTTCCAGACAGACCAATAATGATATGGTATCCACAAAACATTTCTTTAGGCTAGTGTGCTCGAGATTACTTTACAATTTATGAACAATGAGAAAATATGACTAAAGAACATAGGAAAATTCTTTTTTATTCTCACTTTTCAACACTACGCACTGGCGTTTTGGCGTACATTGTTCCTACGCCACTGCATGTATCCTTTGACAATCCCTGGGAGATCCTGAACAAATCTCAACTTTCAATGAATATCAATTACCATTCCTTTTACCATTAATTTTCAATCCATACATGCTTAATTAATTTCTGCACATTTATTAAGTCATTAAGGGCACACATATCGATTATATCATATTTTGATTTATTCAGGTACTCTAATGAGATCCCTTGTTACCTGATACCACCAAAGTGAGGGGGCTGTATCTGCATTATTCATTTCTGTTTATTTGTCTTCTGGAAACCCAAACAAAAACCAAATCACCATTCCCACAGACACCAGGGGGAGGGGCAATTTATGGTAGCACACTTATGTAAATTTTGATTGACAGCTCTGGTCATTTTATCTGAACACACTTGTGTACTTTACTTTCATGGGATTTAGATTTGTTATACCTGGTCAATGGGTCAATGAGAGCAATGTGATCCTGATAATCACATTCATACTTATACTCTTCACAACAAATAAACCACCCTTTGAACTGGAATATGGTTCATTCATTATAAACTCTGATTATTCACACTCCATTACTTATTCATATTTCAGTCTAATCAATGCACTTTCCTTTACTTGCTCATAAACTCTAGAATGTGAATTTGATACATTTGTGGAACTTCTCTTTCCCTATAGGGATGAATGGGACAATGTCTATCAATTGACAATTACTGATAGACTTTATATAACTGGAGACACTTATGACCTGTACCTAGCAGAGGCACAACTGCAACCATGGGAATCTGCCTTTTGAGTTTACACATTGGTACACATTGTTTTCATGAATCTGGGGCTAGGATACTCGGCTGGGATATACTCCCAATACACACACAAATGCACAAATGCGCATAACATATTTTTGATACCTTTCCCTTTCATGACATATTTTTGATAACCCTCTCCCTTTCTTAGTTTACACATTGCCTGGGACACATTGTTTTCATTAACCTGGGACTGGGATACTCGGCTGGGATATACTCCCCAATACACACACAAATGCGCATAACATATTTTTGATACCTTTCCCTTTAATTTCATGACATATTTTTGATAACTCTCTCCCTATTTAGTTTACACATTGCCTGGGACACATTGTTTTCATTAACCTGGGACTGGGATACTCGGCTGGGATATAGTCCCCAATACACACACAAATGCGCATAACATATTTTTGATACCATTCCCTTTCAGACATATTTTTTTGATTACTCTCTCCCTTTCTGAGTTTTCACATTGCCTGGGACACATTGTTTTCATTAACCTTTGATACTTGGCTGGGATACACTCCTCAATACATACACAAATGCGCATAACACATCTTGATACCCTTTCTTTTCATTGCATATTTTGATAACACTTTCCCTTTTTTTATTTTACACATTGTTTTCGTGACCCTGGGTACTCGACTGGGATATACTACACAATGTACACACTAATGCACATAAATATATTTTTGATAACCATACCAATTCCTACCCTTGAATTGGGAATGTCGCTCCTGGCTCCACTGGGCATAACTACTATTTACCAATTTTAATTTGTGGCTTTGTTTTTAAACAACTGTTATCCTCTGACTGTCTGATGCAAAACAAACACATCCCATTAAAAGCAAATTCAAATGCTCTTGGCTATACCTTATATACAGATCACAATGTAGTAATTAATATCTCTGTCAGAACAAATCTGGTTGTGCTGTGCTATTTAGCAATTGGCTAAAAAGACTCTAAATAATTCCCAATTTTCAAAATTCAAAATTTTCGAGAAGAATTATTATTAAAACTGGGCACCAAGATAAAGCTTTGAAAACACTGGTTTCTGGTTAAGATGGAATATAATGGCTCTTTGCTTTGGTTTGTTTAAGGTTGTGCTTATTTCAAATATTTCAGAAAAAAATAAAAATAAACACCAGTACACAAAAAGATACCACCAAAAAAATAACCATCGTTCCTATGAAGGACACTTGAAAAATAAAAAATATATACCCGTGCTGTGCATTGGACAGACACTTCTGTTTGGATCCCCGCAGATCGGGAAAATAGTACACTCTTTTATCTAACTAGATATATTGCTGTTTCTGTCCAAACCGAAATTCCGTAAACGGAATAAGTATACACCAAAAAAATAACCAATGTTCCTATGAAGGACACTTGAAAAAATAAAAAATATATACCCGTGCTGTGCATTGGACAGACACTTCTGTTTGGACTCCCGCAGATCGGGAAAATAGTACACTCTTTTATCTAACTAGATATATTGCTGTTTCTGTCCAAACCGAAATTCCGTAAACGGAATAAGTATACACCAAAAAAATAACCAATACGCTAAAAAATATACCTAAGAGCGACCACGCTCAAAGTTGGTAACCCATATACTTGCGATTAATGTACACTTAAAATAGCACACCTAACAAAAAAATTAGAGCGTGATGACAATATAAGTAATTACCAGTGTTTCAGCGATCAAAGCAAATTAATGGAAATAGAATGCCCAAGTACGTAGTTACATGGAAGTAACCAATAAATGCAATAAATTACATTTAAATCCTGCCGACTGCGCCAAATTATGTAACGACCCAAGGTGTTGTGTTGGGGTTTGTGCAGTTTCGTGGGGGTTGATTTAATAATAAGTGTCAAACAAAACGTTTAGGTTTGAGGTCAACAATAATCAACGTTACTATATTGTTTAATTATAAGTCATAAGGTACATGAACATGTTACATAACAATAAGAAATGCATACAAGTACAACTCCTGTAACCTCAATACTAATTAAATCTAAGTACAATACCTGGACTGATAGCTTGCAATTATCTCACACAATAATGTCAAACAAATCATGTGTTCAAAGTACTGTACCTGTAAATAATGCATTGATAACTCACCCCAAAACAACCAAGTGCCTGCGACTTAAGTAAATACCCAAGATGGTGACAAATATATATCCGACTAATTGATAAACTGAACTCCTTAATTGATTCCTAGTCCAAATATCCACAAAGACTGTACCAGAGCTGGAGACCTTTACCCAAGCGAGCCAGGAGCGAGACTGAGGTCCTGAGGGGGAACATTTACTTATATACCCCTGAGACCCCAAGTGCAGCTTGTACAGAGGGACCAAGACACTGAAGCCACTGATTGGTTAAATTGAACACTAAAAGACATCCCTAAAACTGACCATGGCAAATTATGGGCCAATGATTGGTTAAGTGACTGAAACAAATGTTAGAATGTAACTTGTACTGAGAATATTCCATAGTAAAAGACTGCTTGCACCAAAACTCAAGTGGACTGAACATGACCAGACTGTGAAGTGATTGGTTGAAAGATACAATGGAAGTGTGCCTACTGTCTAAAGACCATCAGCCTCTATGAAACCAAGAACTAAGACTAGATACTGATACATGATTGGTTTATAAATGACAATTAAGTCTGACCACTATATGAGGACCTTCAGCCTTTATGTAAATACAGAGATAACTGAGAAATTATACATCCTAAGACCCAAATCCGTTACAATATTATGCCTACATTTACTCCATTGTTTGGAATGAGAAGTGATTTTTTTCAATTTTTATAAAAGCTGAGTAATATATCTGGTATTTACACATATGATTATTCAACTTTGAGGGTTGAAAAATATGTTGACCTTTTATAGTGTGTGTGTGGAAAAGGGGGGGGGGGGGGGGTCTTTAATAGTTCCTTGAATTTCTTATTTTAGAACCTTTATACCTTAGGCTATATATTACTCATCATAATGTTATATAAGAAATTATGCATTTTAAAAAATTCTTTTAAAGGATCTTGTTTGATATAATGTAATAAAATTCAATTGCTTCAATGCTGAATATTAGTTAGGTGATTTAAAATAGAATGTTTGTCATTAAATTGAACAATAATATTTTGAACAAAAATAGGCATTGCCAGATTTGAAACATTTGGGTTAGCATACCAAGCACCTGCATGTACTCGAGACGGCTACTTATTAAGAAGATCTTCTTATTGATTAACCTTAACAATTGAAGGACATTAGGAGTATCCTGAAAAAGCCAGAACTGCTTAATTTTTAGAAAATATTCATTTCATGAAATGTTGAGAACAAAAAGATTGTAAAATGTGACAAATTTTTCTTTCAGTTCATTTAAAAATTAAAAAATTAATATCCCTTAGCACTTTAAGCGTGGGTGTGGTGGTGACAGGTTTAACTGAGGGCAGTAAAGTCCCCAAAGACAAACAACACAATACACCCATGTTACTAATTTTAAAAGAATTCCTTGTGAAAATCTAGGTGTTGATTGAATGATTGAAAGGTAATGGAAGGGGAGGAAGAGCCTTTAATATTGGGGAAATATTTCTTAGAGCACTGTGTCTTAGAGAGAGGCAGACAGAGACAAACATCTTGTTATCTTATCCTGTACATTTAAATAAAGCTTAATGGGCACCTGCAATAGACGAATCTGCAGATCCAATTCTTGTATTAATTGATTAAAATATTGGATTATTGATCAACGTGAATTGCACACAGGGTGCTTTAACAATTTTTCTAATTTTAAAAGATGTCGCCCTCGTTTGTTGCTGTAGCCTCGTTTTAGAAAAGTCCCGCGCCAAATTTTGATATTTTTGTGGGAATTTATGGTGAGTTTATTCTCTTTCTTTACCGATGTCTACAATGCAGTTGTTGTTCCGGCGTATGCCAGAGTTAGAAGGATTTATTACGATATTTTATGAATAGTTTGATTGCACATTTTTTTATCATTTTGCCAGATTTTCACTTTCAAGCAGAAGACAATTTTTTGGCAAAATAAAAATTCATTCTTTTTTTCCTAAGATAAAATTCATTCTTTACTTTAGTTCTCTCAAAGGGGTCCATGGTTCTTCCTAGGTCATGAAAGTTTTGGCAGTCTCAGCCTGCAGAGGTATCCACCTCTCCTTTTGACTGGGCAATTTAGTAGACAGTTCATTCCCATCTCCATGGACCTTCTGAATGAAGTCGAGGATGAAATCCATGGCATCTCATCCTCCTAAGCAGGTGTCCAGACTCCGTACCTCCTTCTTCTTCCCTGCTATAACCAATTTTGAAGCACCCGATTTAACTGAATCATGTGATCTAATTACAGTTGGGGACATAAATAAATGACAGGTGGATTTGCTGAAGTGAGGATAAGATTTCCCATGTTAAAAATAAGAGAATTTACAAGGGGCCATAAATCAGTGGATGAGATTATACAAAATGTAAAATATACAAATTTTAAGGGATATGTATCTAGACAATATTGGAAATTATGGGCTTTCAGACCACCATAATTAGGAAATGGTGATCGAAAATCGACCTGTCATTTATTTTTGTCCCCAACTGTATGCGCAATGACCTCTTCATGATTTCTGTTGCAGTGCTGCGACAGCCAATCAGATTGCGAGTTCTAATCGGGGAAATGCTAACTGCTTATCGCAAGGGGTAAAAAGAAAGAATATATTCTGGATTTTGAAGCCCTGTGATCATAGGATGATGCCACCTTGTCGGACTGTTTTATATCATTTCTTTATTGAAACTTCTAATTAGACACATCGTTTTTTCGATACAATGAAAAATATTGTAAAGGAAAACAATTCCACAAATTTTCACCTGATGTCAAGAGTTTGTCAAGGAATGCCCCATGGCCCAAAATGACAATAGGTTTAAAATGTGGTTTTCAGCATTTGTAAGCCAACCGTAGAATTTTCATACCATTATGAAATAAATGATAAATTACTGTTAATAGTCTAATAACATTGATTGATCAGTCAGATTGGCCCCGCAAGATCAGTGATGGTTTAGTTATTTCTTACTGATCACAATGTTATGGTAACCACACAATTGTTATGTTAACAAATGACAAAACAGCTTGGAATTGTGACAGCATGATTCAGTGGACCAATTAACAAAAATTTTATTACAAAAACACATTACTGATAAGATGACATGTCCAAATATATCCATTATCAGTGGCATAGCCAGGAAGTAAAGAACGACGAGGCAAAATATTTCCAAACCTGTTCCAAAAAGCGATGAGGCAAGCGCCTTGTTTGCCTCATTCTGCCTTCACTTCAACATTTCCATTATTTAGATTAAAAGATGGACAGAAATACAAATTTGTGAATTAATTATGATGGCAAAAGAAGAACACGATGATAACCCTTTACATGATGATATTATGCACAAAGGAATCAAAAACGAAAGTGCCTCATCTGCCTCATCCTGTCTACACTAGAGATTATTAGTTAAAACTGATTATTTTGGGTTAAATTACTATTTTGGTTGTCCTAGTAGTATACTAGTCATTTCAGTTCATTTTCTCATATGATGATCCTTTAGAGTCTTTATGTTAGAATCGACCTACGTAATGTTGCATGGTTTTAAAAAGTCAAGAAAAGCCCATGAAAATAGTTGCTTTATAGCTGTTAAATAATTCCATGAATAGTTGTATAGGTAATGAAAGCACTTTCAGAAGATATAGGGATATACTTAATCAAGTAATGCCTGTAAATAATGTACAATCATGATATTCCAGGTTTCTGACAGCCGGTGTATTACTACTACTGAGCAGCCATGCCTGTGGTGAACACTGAATTACAGGCGACATGCAGTGCCCTGGGATATCAGGAAGGCAATACGTATGTCAGAGAACCAGATTGTTTAGGTAAGTAAAATTTTTAAAAGTCCAGGAGATTGATAGCCTTTTCCACTGTTGTTACCATTTTACCATTATTTAAAATGTCGAATGAACTCTGAATCTGGGAATTAAAAGAGGTTTTGAATACTGCAGAGAGTGATACTTTGAATATATGGCAAATCAAAAATTGATATGTATTGCACATTTATAGTATCTTGATCATAGGCTTCATGGATTTGTGGGGTCAATGACTGGATAAAAGGGGTGTTTGTTAAAAAATCATGTCAGCCTGTAAGTTGAGTTTACACTTTAGAAATGATATAACATCAGGGCTCTCACCAGGAAATATTTAGGATGTGGTGCTAACATCTTCAGAGTAACCGTTCAATCGTGATAAATCATATTTATGTTATGTTTTATCCTTTTTACATGCTATTATTGTATATTCAGTCAAGTTTAGACTGTGGAAACAGTCATGATTTGCCAATAGGGTGTGGAGGGAGCTAAATAGAGTGTGGTGCTGCGCCACAATCTAAAAGCCTGGCGAGAGCCCTGGACATATATGTGCTCAATAATATTTTAGAAACGGTCAAGGATTTGATCAGATTCCTGAAGAGGGAAGAGGAAACATGTGACATAAGACGTCAACTAGGAGAGGTCCAGATCCTGCAGAATGACCTTATACCAATCCTTAAAGAATATAAAGATGATAAAATTCTAGTTGAGACTGTTCTAAGGTAAGTTTGAAAAATATTATAAATTTCCCCTTACCTAGGTGAGAACCTGTTGCTCTTTCCTGTCTATTTATCATTAGACATAAATTTACATTGATTACATTTATTATTTATTAATACATACATATATTTATTCTGAATTTATGATATTAATCAATGGCAGATCGGAGGGGGGGGCTTAGGGCCTGGGCCCAGAATTTTTTTAAAAATGCAATCGCGGAAATTTTTTCCAGAGTCAAAATTTGGGCCCCCTTGTTAATTGCTGGATCCGCCACTGTTAATCAAATGAATATGCATTTTCTACAGGTTAATGGTCAACCTCACGCAGCCAGCCATTTTATGTTTTCGTAACTTCATCCCTGAAGATAAAACAACCAGAAAAGAATTCATCGAGGTTGAGGGCATACTACGCATGTATAAAGCTGTAAGTGTGAGACATAAGTAATGAAATACACTTTCCTTCATAATTCATATACCATTTGATTATCCCTGGAAAACTGGGCATCAGTAAATATTACATACTTCTCTCATTATAATACCTTTTTACCTAATAGGTTATGTAATTTGTTTCATGAATTTGAATTTGAATTAAAATGTTTTATTGAAATGTTTTAGGCATTTGCTGATGAAGCATTATTTGCTGTTCTTACCAAGAAACTGGGAGATAACTTACAATTGGTGAGGTTAACCTTTGTGTATTTAATTAATGTACATATTTATTTAATTAATGTACATATTAATTTAATTATTTTACTAACTGAGATTCCAGAATTAGTCACACCTGGTGACATTAAAGATGACTAGAAAATACTGAAAAACAATCAAAAATGGCATTTGTTTTAAACGCATTTAGTCCAAATAGGTACACATAAAATAGAGATTTTGCACCCATGTGATGAAAAAACCCTGTAAGAACATGTTAAATGTGATAAACCAGGTCTTCTATTGACCTTTCAAAATGTACTTTTATATAACATGACTCTTTTGTATTGTTTACTTTAGGATTGGGAGAGTCGCCATGAAGATGATCGCATGTTGATTGAAAGGATACTTATCTTAGTGAGGAATATATTACATATCCAGCCTGATCTGGGTGAGGAAAAGGTGAGAGAATCTCTAATAATATGTCAATTAAAAATTCTCAGTCAATAGTTACATTGTCAGGTATTGGCAGTACTTAAAGTATGTGTATGTGGTCCTTACGCCATGTTAGCAGTAGTTGCCCTATATTAAAAGTGACATATTTTAATACCCTAAACATATCATTTATTGTCACATTCTGTAGATTGTAGCGATAGCATAGTAGTATAGCAAAAGTCAGGTACACAGAAAATGATTTATGAAACATTGAACTATAGTGACAATAAAATTGCTACAAATACTTCTTCTGGTTTTAGAGATGATTGCGTGGTCTTAAACATTCTCTGGTGATTCCATTTTTGAAAAATGCATAAATATACATTCAGTCTGCTGTTAAACCTTTATACTTTCAATAAACCTGAACCTATTCGAGTTGAGAAAATGGTGGTAATGTTCTTTTAATGAAGCGGAGAAGTCAAATTATTGATCAAAAGAGAAGCACTCAAAATTAATCTAAAGGAGAATTTGAAATAAAGTGAATCATTTATGTGTGGGTGTCGTTAACACATTTCCAGTTCTATAACAGATTAAAACGCTGATTTATCAATAAAAAAATATGTTGCTCCTTAAAGGTGGTGTGTATATTTGTGTAAATGTAGGTATATGAATGTGTCAAGGTCTTTTGGTTTTGCCCCAGAAACTAAAAGGTATAGTCATCGCTACAGTTCAGAGTCCCTTAAAGGGATAATAACCTCAAGTAAAAACTATGATTCATCAGAATAATAAGTCTATAATCAAAAACATGACCCGGGTATGAGCGACGATCTTCTTATGCATCGGCAGATATATTGGAATTAATTTTGAGGTATTGGATCTTCACCTGGATTATGGAGGTCGCCATAACCTACCTATGAATATTCATGAGCGGCGTCACTGCGACTCGACAAATTCCAGCATTTTGATTGGCCCAAAAATGCGCATGCGCAATTGTAGCGGGGCGGCCACATTGAAAAATATTACGAACTTCTTAACAAGAAAATGGAGCAATTTGAAGATTTTGACGATGTATTTGGCATATTGACATACTATAATATGATATCACCTGTTCGAGAAAAACATGACCATGTTCACATCAATACTTACAATTCATAGAATTAACTCCCAAAGTGCCAATCAAAACCAAAAACTGACCAACTCGTGAACGTTGGTTACCGACATGACAGGAAAATGCGTTAATTTTATGTTGACAATCAATTATCTCTCGATCGTTTTGCTTGAAGATTAAACATATTCGGATCTTTTATTTAATAAAATGACGAATGGCAGATATTAATTGGATTTTTGACACTCTGTTATAAATATAAGGCAGAACTGATAATGTATTCCCCGTCATGAATGATCGCGATCGATGACGCAAGGTTCGTCATTTCGATCACCATGGAGGTGTATTTTTGTTGTATTTACAGTAGACAACAAACAATTTAAAGGCTCGTAGACCTAGTATGTTATATTTATTTCACAAATATGGTATTAAGTTATAAAGCTATTAAAGACATACGATACGATACGATACAATTCAAAAAGTTTTTTCAAAATGGCGTCGACCTAACCGGCACATGGCCTGGTTCAGTTCTCTTTTTGGGACCGGATTGCTCGCCTTGAATCCGTTTTCTTTGGTTTCTTGTGAGAGAATATGTATGGTATGGCAACTGCCCGAACGACAGTGAGATTCCATTGTCGATAACGACAGTGTTATTTCTGTTGCCGATAGCAAACTGTCGTGGGTAAACCCGGAAGTAAAATTGTGTTCAATCTACGCCGTTTGAGGAGAAAATCAGCTAAAACAACTTGCCCCGCGTGTCTAGAACCATCATCACTGTAGCGTCTATATAATCAATACTTACTTGAAATATCCTGACATCGAACTAAATAAACCACTCTAACTTCAGTTGTTATTCATTTTTATTCACCAATCTATTTTGAAGAGCTTTTGAAGAGCGATTTCAGCATTTGAGGCAATCTGCGCCAGTTCCTCTTGATTCGGAATCTAGTTCATGCGCATTAGAATGAATAATTTGATTGGCTTAATTTCAAAAACACATGCGCACTTGTAAATTATTTCAAACTACTAGGCATGCGTGAAGAGTTGAAGCAAAAACGAAACTGCTGCAGATTACCCTACTTATTCGATGGCGGAATTAGAAAATTCTTTATTCAAAATGTTTTCCCGTATTGGGGAGAAAAAACACAACCCCAGGATAGATATAGGACGACAAACAAGACAATAATAAGTAGGAATCTTTGATTGTTAAAAGCCGTGCATGAAACTTTTCAGAAACTATAGTAAGTGACACTGTTTTAAATGTGTTCTATTCCCCGGGGATTCGGTCCACGACAACGACAGCTGGTTTGAACTGTCGACAGATTTTAATTCTACCGTCACCAGCCGACTGTCGTACTGTCGTTCAAGCATTTCTTTTAAAGTCCTTATCCCAAGTCTAGCTCTATCAGTGGAAATATTTGAACAGATTACCGCACAACACATAGGCATTTTCCTTTGTTGTGAATGCTTTCAAGATGGCGACTCAGGTCGCAGAAACGTCACACTTCCGGTCTACATCCGGGTCTCTGAGGGAAATATGGGGAGCCCCGTCCAACAGACAACTGGGTCACTGGGTCAATTTATGATTTTTATTTTCAATATTATACAAAAACTAACACATAACAAGATTTTCAACTTATTGCATTTTATTCAGTAGTATTGTAACTACATCTAATGATGATTAGAATACCTGACATTATTTCCGCTTTAAAGTTTGAAGGTGTATCAAAGCTATAAAATGACAATTTTTACTTAGAATGTAGAAATACAAGAGTAAGCAGGAATATTATAAACTTGAGGTGTTGACGTGGCAATATATAGTTAGAAATATTGAAAATTAAATGACTATATGTTTGTTTACATTTTTTTCCAGAGAACAGACGATGATGCAAGTATACATGATCAAGTCTTATGGTATGTACCATACTTTTAAATACGTTGGTATGTCAATTTTTGTAAGCATTTTCAATTGCACTCTGATGAAAGGTAAATCCTTGGGTTATCTAGTAGTTTCAACTTTTTGTCTCACAATTTCTTCTGTTAAGGTATATTTGCAAAGTATCATATGTATTCTTCCCTGATATTTCATTCTCTCTCAACTTTGTTTAACTGCTTGAATACCCAGATAGTAAGATATATCAGTGACAGAATTTCACACTAAAATGCCTCTAACTTTGACAAATCTCCACAAAATATGTATTAAACATTTAAAATGTGTGTAATTTTTTAACATCAATAAAATTACATTAAATATTGTATATCAAGTTATAAAATATGGCAAAAAGCAAGCAAAAAAGGATAATGCTCTTGTACTATATTATTAAGCCACATTCGCTGTTCATGTATTATTCTTTATGCAGGGCTTTACATGTGAGTGGAATGGAAGATCTGCTCTTGTATATAGCAAGTTCCCAGGAGGAGAGGCAGTTTGCAATGCACTGCTTGGAGATTGTGTCCCTGATGTTCAAAGAGCAGACCCCAGAGCAGCTGGCCAATGCTGGCTCTTCCAGGTCCCTCACTGAGAAAGAGAGGGATGAGAGGTAAGTAATTTCTCTGCATTGCTTGGAGATTGTGTCCTTGCAAATAAGTTACATTTAATAATTTTTTATCGGACCTTGAAATTTTTTCATAAAAAATTAAATCTTTGACAACTTTAAAGTACCAGTGGACTGATTTGGTTCAAAATTTATATGCTGATGATTGGGATCATAGGACCTTTGTTCAGGAAGTATTTTTCAAAATTACCGCTCATTTCAAAATGGCTTCCATTTTTTCATAAATAGATGTAATAACTCAAGGATCCCATTTTGCCCAAATTTTATAGGCTCACTCTTATTGGAATAGGACTCACGATATGGCTGCTTAATTCAAAATGGCAACCCTTTTTCATGAAAAATGTGATCTTTGATAACTCAAATACCAGTTGTCTGATTTGATTCGATAAAATATATACTGATGCCTAAGGACATGGAATATTTGTTCAAGAAAGAATTCTCAAAATGGCGCCTGCATTTAAATTGTTTCCAGAAGAAAAAAAATCAGATTTAAAATTTTTACTTTTTATTTCACTTTTATTTGTAAACCTTTTACTTTTCTATCACCTTTGTGTCATATCACATTTTTATGTCATTTTCATTTCTGCATCACCATTCACATTTTTGCCACCTTTTTTTCTATTGCATTTGTCATTTCCTCATTCAAATCTAATTTTACATAATCATGTGAATTGTCTTTGTTCATGCAGCCTTATTTTTATATTCCCTCTTTTCATTAGACATTGCTTCTTCTCTGTTCTGTTATGTTCTACATCGATGATGTTGATAAATGGGATGAACTCGTTTTTGCCTTTGATTTCTTGGAATCTTTTGAGAAAGTGAGACTGTCCCACACTTTTCTCTTTAAAACAAAAGCTATGAATATATACACCCCTTGACTTGCATTTAACACTATAAAGATATACCATAAAGCTATGTTGTATGGGGCTATGAATGCAAAGATCCATGTGAGACCCGTAAGACAGAATAACTTGACATAAATTCCAAAAGGATATTCTGAAGTCTGGTTGCAACTTTGAACTCGTTGTTTCATTGATTTCCAAAGGCTAATGGCTGTTGGTATGAAGAACCCCATATTGACCAGAATTGCAATGGCTATAGGGGTGGTGAAAAATATCAAGAGAGGATATCTTTGTGATATCCAGCAAATTTCCCTGCCATACATTGGTTTAAAGACAGGGTCTATATTGGAAAAATCAAGACCTAAAGATATTGCCACTATGACAGCTGGAATACCCCATGCTAGAAGTGCATACAGTTTCAGGACTGAAACATTTGTGTCAGTTGATTTAGCAAAACTAGAGGGAGAAAATATATAGAACATATCTCTTGCTATGATCACTGTCCATGTAAAAACTGCCAGATAACTCCAGTGGATTAAAACTCCTAGTGTGACACATAAGTATTTTATATCAGTACAATTTGGCCTGATCAGAAATAATAAACTTGCAAGAAATAGTGACAAGATAAATAAAAACTGTAATTTTCCAGGGAAGTTTTGAAACAGTGAAACAAAGGGTTGGAGAATGAGTCTAATGAACATACAGACAAGAGACAGTGTGGTACAAATGATTGTTAATAACCCCATCGTGTCATCATACCGCCAGACTGCAGTCCAATTAGCAAACTCTCCAGTCTCATTCACACAAACATATACCATATTCCCGACCAATATAAATTCATCTTCTGAAAGTAGATTCCCAGTGTCAATGGAAAGTACACTCTCATTGGCTAGTATCTTAACAGAATTAGGACGTACAAGTTTGCGTGGACAATCTGTAGTGTTGTATGGCTTAAGAGGAATTGATGTTGCAATTGCTGACTGGTTGGTTTTGCTTGGGTTGAATATTAGTGTTTTTTCATTTCGTTCAGTTACAATATTTTCTCCCGATTTTGTTACACGTCCATGGTTCCAACATGACCTTTCACCAAATAAACTTAGACATGTCTTATTAAGGTCAATTAAAACATTTGTTCTTTTAGGACTAGCAGAATTTGATTCTGTGAGAATATTATTGAATAATTTTGCATGAATTTCATCTAATGGCACCATGTTTCCTACTTTTAATTTGTATTTGCCGGTTACATCAAACTGGATAAATCCATATATTGAAGATGAGTTATTGAAACTAGGTTCCAGTTTTATCTCCTCAATGATGCATTGCTCCAGTACCTCAAGGAATAGTTCTAATAATGCTTTCTTTAAGCTTTGCCATATTTTTGTGTTACTTATCATCCCAAACTCTTGTGTTGTCCACCTACCAGTTAATGTCATATCAAAAGCATGGTATTTTAAGACACATTCCCCATTCGTGTATTGAAATCCGTCTGCACAGTATGAAACACAGTCCAAATTTTCTGAATTAGTCAGGCCACATCCAAATGTTTTTATGTTATCCTTAAATATGAATCCCACCTTGTTTCCAGCTGAAGGATTATAATCAACTAGAATTCCGAAAGAAAATTTTGCAAGTCCCCAACCAGGTACTTCCACATTATTAAATTCATTCCAAACAAAATCACATGAAATAGTATCCAATAGGAACCCATCTTGTACGGCACACATTAAACAGTAAACATTCTTTTATGTTCATGTAGAGTATAGATATGGCCGTGAGAGTCGTACATGTAAAATTATTAATATAAAATTAATATAAATAAATATTGAGCCAATTAACACAAAACACAATACCTTGGAAATAATGGCTAATTTAAGTTAATTAGCTACAAGAGTTTACAATTTGACATAACTGTTAATTAGCTCAATTGGATATATTATAATACCATCTCCAAATCATCTTCTTGGGCGAAAATAAATCTCCAACTGGTGGTGTAAGCTGGGGAAGGAGGTGAGGGAAAAGAATCGAAATGTATAACTTACATTGATGTTAATGGATTTTGTACGCACCTAGGGAGAAAACCCTCCAACTACAATCCTATCGATATCTCGTCTAAAGTCTCATCTCGTACTCTCGAGATCTGAAGCTTGATGTTTCGTTCAGTGTAACTTACCAGAAACATTTACCTGGGATAACCGGGGAATGGTCTTCTTAGGGCTTGTTCATACCTAAACCTTAACCGACTCTCACATTACCATAAATGAAATTATTGTCAATAATTTGAATTTATGTTCATGTAGAGTATAGATATGGCCGTGAGAGTCGTACATGTAAAATTATTAATATAAAATTAATATAAATAAATATTGAGCCAATTAACACAAAACACAATACCTTGGAAATAATGGCTAATTTAAGTTAATTAGCTACAAGAGTTTACAATTTGACATAACTGTTAATTAGCTCAATTGGATATATTATAATACCATCTCCAAATCATCTTCTTGGGCGAAAATAAGGCCATGCGCGATCTCTCGCGAGAGCCCAAAAGAAAAGAAGATTAATTAGAAAGTAGTTAAATCATTTATTGATACACACAAATCAATACATGAATACCAAATTATAAGAACATCATAGAAATGAACTAAAGTAAATCCGCAAATTCTGAAATAAGGATGGACAAATTAATGTAATGTAATGTAATATGCTGTCAATCTCAGGTAAGATAAAGGAATTAGAATTGAATGAAAATTTTTGAATTCAGAAAGTGCGGGTTATCTCAATTAAATTTCTAGTACATCATGAAGAAAAAACAGTAGCTACTTGAAATTTGCATGCTCGACACCTGTTTGAGCCGACTTTGGGGTTTACATGAAAATTGAATACTAGACACCTGTCTGAGCAACTTTGGGGCTTTAATGAAAATTGCATACTCGACACCAGTCTGAGTTTATAAATGTCTACCTAATATATTTTTTAATGTATGTATGTATGTCATCTCCCAATCTTTTGATAGTATAGTCATCAAGTCCAAGATTTGTGGCCCATGTAGCTCCGCCTATCCGCAAACTGTGGCATTTATAGAAGGTAGGATCTACCTGACATTGAACAAAGAGTTTGTGAAGAAAATTGTTAAATACAGAAGTATTCACTGGAGCATCTCTATAAATGAAAAAGGACCTGATTTAAAGGACCTTATGTTCAGGTACAACTTCATATGTAATACTGGACAACAAGATGGTAATTGAGAATTAATTGATATCGTAGCAGGAGATGAGCTATGTTTAAAATGTGAAAAAGTAATAATGAAAAAGGCTTCATCGGGAGAGAATTTAATACTTTCTAACTGTAAGTTGTGTCCTGCGGAAGTACTTGTCAACTCACTACTTCTTAGTAAGCCAAAAAAGGCTGTAGATAACATAGCTCTGTACAAGACTTGAGCAAAAGGGTAAAAATCTACTTCAGAAGTTTTAGAAACCATTTGTTCTAACAAGGCTGTGTTGATTGGCAATCTAGTGTCTATGCTAGGATTTGTTTACAAAAACCAGAAACTATTTGAGAGACTACATAAGAAGTAGTGGGATCCTTGAAATTGTTAATTGTGAAAATATGATAAAAATGATATACCAGACAGAACTGACTTGAATGAATTAGGGGGATAATTCTTTAAACGAAGATGTGCTGCAAAAAGGCTAGCAGGCTGGGGTTAGAGGAAATTCACCTATACCTGTCTGGGAGTTGAACTGTACTAATAAATCATATGACTTTCTGGTAGACGGGGCTTGGGCAGCTTGAAGTGCTTCTAAAAAGATAAAAAGTAACATAAATTGTTTCTAGATAAAACGTCAGCAGCAGAATTAAGAATACCAGCAATGTGTTCACGTTGAACATGATATTGTTTAAGAGACATTTTAATATATGGGAAGTAAGAGTTGCATGGACGTTTGATTGCTGGTAGAAAATTTATTTCGGTATGTTCAATACTGCATCATTGTCAGAATGCAGGATAACTGTGTGTCCAGACATAAGTTTTGTCTATGTAAGTATAGCAGTAACAATAGGATATAATTCAAGAATATTGATGTCCAATTCTTTCCATTCTGATGGCCATTCCCCTTTAAACCAAAGATTATTGCAAACGGCTCCATAGCCTATCGTAGTAGAAGCATCGGTAAAAGATGCAATTGTTCTCTTGTCTCTTGTTCTTCTGTAAGGAAAATAGATTTCCCATTAAAGGGAATTAGAAACTATTTCCACATTAATAAATCCTGCATAGATGGAGTGTTGATTAAGATTTTATAATGTAGCTCCTTCATTTTTAGATAGATGAATAAATAATGAAATAAATGATCTACCGAAAGGAATCACACAACAACAGTAGCTAAGGAATCCTATAGCAGATAAAAGTTCTCTTTGAGACTTTCTTTGGTTTTGGCTTAATGGTAAAGGGGTTGATGTTACATAAAGTGTCAATGATTGTTTTGCCATTTCCATGAGCAAACAAGCTTCTAATAGTCTTACACAAGAAGCAACCTTTTCCTAAATGTTTTATAATATCTATGGCTTGTTGTACGGTTGCATATTTAACTGTAGAAGTTTCGTCTGGGATAGTATCATTATGGGTTGGCCTCTGGGATGTGATAAGTTGTGAATAACACAGAATTCACCTGGAGAGTTTAACTGGAGTAACAACTTGTGTTGACATAAGTTCACTCGAAGGGTTTTTTGGAGTCTCCAGTACCTGAGCGCTTTTTGTTGGGGAATTGGGCTTGCCTGCCGTTGTTGCGGGAGTAACATTTTGGAAGTTGGGCAGGTGTGGTTAAAGGGACAAGGGGATATATATTTCAAGAGGTGAGGGGTTTGATCATGAAATCTTTGGGTATAGACAGCAATAAATATAATGAATGCTCGGACCCATTCTGGAAATGAAAGGATTTTCCCTTCTTTGAAGGGTTTAAATTCAAATGTTTTGATTCAAAAGAATTGTCAGATTACATCTCACAGAGGACATAATCATTGTTTTTGTCTTCTTCAATACAATCATGAATCAATACATGAATACCAAAATATAAGAATATCATAGAAATGAATTAAAGTAAATCCGCAAAATCTGAAATATGGACAAATTAATGTAATGTAATATGTTGAAAACTGGGAATTGGATTTATTGAAGCTACTGACACCTGTCCTTGTAGCATGGCATTTGTGTTGGGAATTAATCCATAAGCTGTAGAGACGGGTTGGGAATTATGAAAAGCTGAAAGGTTAGTAGAGACTGGAGGGATGAAAGGGTAGGGTTGGATATTAGCGCTTGATGCAAAAGATGGAATAGGGCGAGTAATAGATGCTGTGGGTCTATTTAGAGAGAATGAAATGTTGGGTTGGAATGGAAGATGTAGTGGAATAAGAAGGGAAAGGGGATAAGGGAAAAGTTGTTGTAAAGTTGCCCCTTATTAAAGTGGGCATAGACTTGGCTGCAGTCAGGGTATTAGAAGTGTGATACTCTTCAATAGTAATATTTGGGTTAGGTCCTTCAGTTTCAGACATTTGCAGTGAAATAATTAGTAGTTATATAGAGGGTAAGCAACTTCAAGATATAAAAACATTTAGATAAATATAAATAGAAGCACATGCTCCATGTTAGATGTATATAAATATGATGCCCATAAGGCTAATCATAATAAATATGATTTAGAATACACTGCATAAATAAATGCAAATGATATATAAAGATTATGAATTATCATAATATAAATATGATGCCCATAAGGCTAATCATAATAAATATGATTTAGAATACACTGCATAAATAAATGCATATGATATATAAAAATTATGAATTATCATAATATAAATATGATGCCCATAAGGCTAATCATAATAAATATGATTTAGAATACACTGCATAAATAAATGCATATGATATATAAAAAATGAATAATCATAATATAAAATGATAACCTTTAAGAATAAAGGTAAAGTATACAATGCATGAATAAATGCATATGATATATAAAATAATATGAATTATCATAATATAAATATGATAACCTTTAAGAATAAAGGTAAAGCATACAATGCATGAATATGAAATATAAAATAATATGAATTTTATCATAATATAAATATGATAACATATCATGTCTAAAGGTATAGTATACACTGCATGAATAAATGCAGATGATATACAAAATAATATATATTTATCATAATATAAATATGATAAAATATAAGTAAACAGGAAACTAAATTTCCTAATATAAGTATAGTACTTATGAAGGATAACTAAGTGAATAAACTATTGTGAAAAGTTAACGACTCTCTGGCTTATGTTTGGTTAGAGAAGAGTAGCCGTCTCTTCTAATGTTAAGTCTAATTATTATTACCTAATAAATGTAATCAAGAAATCTCAGGACTGCGCCTTTCAAGGACTTGACGAAACGCTTTTCCCCTTTGCATTGAGATGTATGGGATCGTAGGAGTCATCTATCAAATTTGACCATTGATTCTATATTGGGTGGTATGTGGGTGATGTAGGAACAAAAGTCTATTGCCCTTATGATGATGAATATCATTTAACAATTTGAAATTGGTAGATAAAATATTGAATTATATTGAATGCCTTCTGAAGCAGTATTGATCGAGGATTTGAAAGGATGCCATGAGCGTTGAAATAGTTCTCCAATATAAAAGGCTTTTAATGAAGGATGTATATCTAAATATTGTTCAGCCAAAGTGATGAGATTTTTTGCAACAAAGGTAGATGATCTATGAACCAGATCATTTTCTCCTAGCTGTAATATAGCCATATCTGGATAGGGATTTTTATATTTTACATCATCTGAAATTGTTTAATTGTATATACAATGATGGTATTATAGTTAACTATGTCTTCCTTTAATTTAAAGTCAAAATGGTTAGACTTTTCTATTTTCCGAACAAAACTGTGGCCTATAATGCTGACCCTAATAACATTAGGCATCTCTAATTGTCTTGTATAATGGGAGAGGAAAGGTAAGGATATTATTGACTCCTGTCTTATCCTCAGAGTAAAGTTTATTATGTGCAATAAGGTGTCAGAAATATAGAAGAAAAGGAATAATTATAGCTCTCTCAAGAGATAAATATATATCAAATAATAAAATGATATCTGTACCTTAATGGTACTATGAATAATCCCAATAACAACCAGAAATCTCTGGAATGGGATAATAAAATAGAATAGATATATTTATTTAATAGCCTACAAGGTTACTTACACTCGTAAATAAATGAAATATCTATTATTAGATTGGATGGAGTCTATTGAACGTAACTTGAGGACATGTATGTGACTTACTTAGGTCCAAACCTTCTCTATATTCCGGCTTTGAGTAGAAAGATTAGCTGCCTTGGTGTTGTAAATATTGTAAATCAATGTGTCACACACACAGGAAATACGGCATAATAATATGAAATATATCTTTATGTATAGATTTGAGAAACATCAGCACACATCTCCGTCTGAATCTATTGTTATATTTGATTTCTTTAAGCGAGAATAATTTCAAAGTTTCCTACATTATTGACGTCTGGAACCGGAAGCCATTTTTAGCTACAGCGAGAAAATTTAACCATATGTCAAACTCCGAAAAGAAATTTTGAAATATCTAAAACCAGACAAGCAACGCTTCATCCTAAATATAATTAATATAAAATGATTTCTAGGTGCGTGTAGCAATTTTTACATACGAAATACGAGTACATACGAAATAAATGAAGTTACATCTAGCTGTAAGGTAGAGACTCGAGTAATATGTGACGTGTCCATATTCATCAATAAATTAATTCTTTTGTATAAATTCAAGTTTTAAACCATATGTACGAGATATCAATTGAATACTTCAAACATAAAACTACAAAGTCATAAAGACAAAAGATAAAACGTGTTTGAAATTTTTTTGAACTTTTTTAAACTGACGTTTTTTGTGTGAAATATTACGATAAAATTTTCACAAAACGATTCAGCGATAGATAAATGTATATACAAGAGATAAATGTCGATAAAAAGAATCGAAATGTATAACTTACATTGATGTTAATGGATTTTGTACGCACCTAGGGAGAAAACCCTCCAACTACAATCCTATCGATATCTCGTCTAAAGTCTCATCTCGTACTCTCGAGATCTGAAGCTTGATGTTTCGTTCAGTGTAACTTACCAGAAACATTTACCTGGGATAACCGGGGAATGGTCTTCTTAGGGCTTGTTCATACCTAAACCTTAACCGACTCTCACATTACCATAAATGAAATTATTGTCAATAATTTGAATAAATGAAACCAGTGAAATGGTGACAGGCATCTGAAACCCATAAGAACACAAGTCTGTATATTTTGGCAGGCATCCATTGGGCTGAGCCATGCAGTTAGGTTGTGAGAGGTGTCTATTCACACATATGTGTTCAACTGGAGGGTCCTATTTTGGATGACATGCTCCTTTTTTCACTGAATCTAACAACTCTTGTGGTGATTCTAAGGAGCCTTCCCATACCTCTTCACATGTGACATTGAGATCCCATGGTATAACATCTTCAAGAATGTTATTACATTGGGCACAGAAGTAATTTTTATATGTGACATCAGTTATCTTTGAGATAACTGGTACTATTTGTATGAATTCTGTAACCTCACCTTCACATTTTTCACGCAGTGTTTGATTGACATTGTCTTTTGGGCAGCGTCCAACCATCCAATATGTATGATCTCTTTCCGATTTAACAAAGGGATGCATACACTCAACATAAGCTGAAGAGTTTGGGGTTCTGGCAAATAAATCTCTCTTTCTCTCACCAATCTTGTAATGTTCTGGACAAAACTGTTGAAAATCTTGACAACAGTCATGGGACACCAAACATAACGGATGACAGGAGCAATAAGGTCCCATATTAGCTCCTGCTGTCATCTTAGGATCATTGCAGCGTGATTCACATGTATATGCATAGGACATAGAACTAACTGAACTATTAGCACATGATGGACCTACAGTCTCATTCAAATCCATTGCACATAGGTATTTAGGTGCAGGAATAGTATAATAGTCAAATGGTGTAGTCGTAGCTTCACTTGTTCTCTCATCTGTCTCTGGTATGCTCCTCTTATTAGTCTTTTGGATTGAAGGCTCATTTAAATTTTGATTTTCGAAAAAGCCAAATGTTCCCTCTGGATTGTGGAGCCCTTGGTCATTGACCAAGCCATCATTTTGTTGACGAACTTGAGCTCGAGATTCTGCAACATCAGCAATGAAACTTGCAACCAGTAGCATGTATGATATGTTACAGAAAAACATTGTTCTTTGACACAGTGTAAAGTTTGCAATTGTGTATCATCAAACTGTTTAATTATAAGAGTTTACTACTGTAGATCAAGGTCTAATTCTATGATTTCTCTGTTGTAATGATGAACATTCCAGCAATTACCTAATGTATCTTCACTTTTGTCAGCTGAGCTATTTTTCACCTATGTCCATTAAATTCCCTTTGTTCAATTAATGTTGAAGTACTGTTGTTTCATGTCCAAGTTAATACACTGTAGCTGATTTTGCTGGAATCTGCAATAACAAAAACATAAAATATTAAATTGCTAAATCATTAATTTTTCAATGAATCAATGAATCAGCTATTGACCTAACAGCCCAAAATTCTTGATTCCAATGAATGAGCCAAATATTTATGCCCAAAGCTTTATCTTAATTGTCAAAGTTTCATAAAAACTTAAACGAATTAAATGTATATTCAACATGTAATATTTGCATAGACATTTTTTAAATATATGTACAGTATGTATCTATATGGACATGTACCTACCTCGTCAAGTACAGTATGCAGTGTGAAGAAACTCTAGATTGACACCTGATCTTTAATTGGAAAATTGGGCTTATTATCAGTTTAAATATACATTAATATTAGCTTTTTGTTTGTATTAACAGTTATTTTAAACAGTTTATTTGTTTACACATATAGCTTAATATTTAGACAAAAATGCAATCATTTGTTTTTATTGTTTTTTTTGTGGATTCTAATATGACAAACAAACCAGAAACAGATGTGGGTGAGAATCACACCAAACTAATTACCTTAGATCAACAGGAACTGAGTTTATTTTTATGTCCCCACCACATAGTGTGGGGCCATATTGTCGGCCTAGGCGCGTCCGTCTGTCTGTGTCTTACCAATCATGACTTAAATATTAATATGGGTATTTCCTAAAATTAATATATAATGGATTTTAATATAATATATGATTTCAATATTAATATGGGTTTAAACCTATAATAAATAAATACTGGATATGACAAATAAATAATATCAATTATAATCTACCTACATGATGTAGATATCCAAATGTTGGTCTGAATTTATCTTTGTGGAAAGATTGTATGCTTCAGTTGCTCTTTAACAAAACATGTGGGACAGTGTATCTATATATTACAAGATGTCTGTCTGTCCGTCTGTCGTACGTCCGGCAGTTTTCTCCAAAACCGCTACAGATATCCCCTTCAAATTTTCAGGGATAACTTATGAGTGCATACAGATGTATTTTTAATTTTTAATTCGATATCTACTTCCTGTCGGCCATTTTGAAGTCAAATGCTAAAATCCTTGTCTGCAAACTTGAAGAAAAACGGCTTCACAGTTGCTTTTAAAACTTTAACATCTTGTTCAGCTCACTTCATTCTAGATCTGATTAGGTTTTGGACCTGTTAGCTCAGTCATGGCAGCCATTTTTAAATGTCTGAAGAAAAGTTAGCGCGCAATAATACTTTGTATCATATTGAATGGTGTTTTTGAGTTTTCATACTTGAACTATTTAGTAGCATTATAAATAATTTCAGGTGTACCTTCTTGTAAAAGTCTATGTTATTGTTAACAGTAGGTATATGTGATAATTTTGTAAAATGAAATCAGCAAAAACTCATAATCACTTTTTTATTGTCAGCCATTTTGGATTTTTCCATCCTAAAATCTTGTCTGTAAGTCTTGTCTACGCGTTTTCAGGTGAACCGTTTGGTAGATCAATTTCAAGTTTTCAGGGATGATTCTTAGTATGAAAATCTAGATCTGATTAGTTTTTGGGCATTCTGGGTAAATGTCAAGGCAGCCATTTTGGATTTTCCGTCCTAAAATCTTGTCTGTAAAGTCTTGTCTACGCATTTTCAGGTGAACCGTCAAGTAGATCAATTTCAAATTTTCAGGGATGATTCTTAGTATGAAAATCTAGATCTGATTAGTTTTTTGCCATTCTGGATAAATGTCAAGGCAGCCATTTTGGATTTTCCATCTTAAAATCTTGTCTGTAAAGTCTTGTCTACGCGTTTTTAGGTGAACCGTTTGGTAGATCAATTTCAAATTTTCAGGGATGATTCTTAGTATGAAAATCTAGATCTGATTAGTTTTTTGCCATTCTGGATAAATGTCAAGGCAGCCATTTTGGATTTTCCATCTTAAAATCTTGTCTGTAAAGTCTTGTCTACGCGTTTTTAGGTGAACCGTTTGGTAGATCAATTTCAAATTTTCAGGGATGATTCTTAGTATGAAAATCAAGATCTGATTAGTTTTTTGGCATTCTGGATAAATGTCAAGGCAGCCATTTTGGATTTTCCGTCTTAAAATCTTGCCTGTAAAGTCTTGTCTACACGTTTTTAGGTGAACCGTTTGGTAGATCAATTACAAATTTTCAGGGATGATTCTTAGTATGAAAATCTAGATCTGATTAGTTTATGGGCATTCTGGGTAAATGTCAAGGCAGCCATTTTGGATTTTCTGTCCTCAAATCTTGTCTGTAAAATCTTGTTTACATGTTTTCTGGTTAACTGTGTGACGGATCAACTTCAAATTTTTAAGGGTTGTTCTTAGTATGAAAATCTAGAACTGACTAATTTTTCGGCATTCTGGGTAAATTTTAAGGTGGCCATTTTGGATTTTCCGTCCTCAAATTGTGTCGGTGAGTCTTGTCTACTCATTTTTAGGATAACCATTTGATGGGATGACCCATATAGGTGGGAACATTTTGTACACATTTGTGTTCTTGTTATAGGGTGACGCATATCGTTTAGCAAATCGAACGCTCGTTTCTGGTGTTGCTCACCGTTTAGTATAAAAGGCCCGATCCCGGAATAATACTCAAGGGTTCACAGGCTCGAGGTCGTTGTGTCAACACCTCTAACTGTTATATAGCATAAGTATATTATAGATCGTCACATATTTATAAAACGATGATTTTTATTTTGACAAATCAATTCCACATTTATGGGTGAAGTTTCAGGATCTTCTATTTGTGTATAATAAGGAAAAATTGACATCTAAATTTCCCCATAACGTAATAGCACACAGCTTGGTATATGAAATATCCTGCAAATGAAACAAAGCAGTTCTAATACAAGGATTTATATTGGCTGTTGTACATATTCTTTGAACGCAATCACTCTATGGATAATGTTTTCAAAATCATTATAAACGGATACTTTATCTCAAAGACAATTTCAATAAACTGGATTTTGCAGAACTCCCCTTATTTCTTAAAAATGGACTGATCCAGTCGATTCGCCTGGAGCCGCCATATTGTTTTTATACGGGATGCTTATCGGAACCCTTTAAACCTTAATGTTTGCAAAGTTGAAATTTCTGTGTATATGGGATCTTCTCTAATTTCTACTACTCATCCCTTACTCAGCAGGAACTATTGTAACCCCATTTTTTGTTCAAGGTTTTGTTCATCCATGTATATGAAGCTAAAACCTCCCTATATCACCAAATAGTACACTGGCCACTTGAGTTCCTATCTAGATCTCATATATCCATATTTTACTGATAAGTCAATCCGCCAAAGTAAATAGCAGTCAAAATTTTAAAAGCCCAATCCACCAAATAGCGTCAAATTTAAGCAATTTACAGTTAATTCTATTGCTGTATCAGATGCTGGCACAGTTTTGCCGGAAGTTTGCAAGAAGTAACTTTTGGCAATGCAGTATGTTAGAGTAACCTAGTAGGTGTAAGAAAATATAAGGTGATGGCCTTTAAAGTGGTAAAAACAATTTTCACGGCCGAATTGGACTTCAATTCCTGCGATTTCAGGGGGTACTATAAGACTATTTCATAACATAAAGGATATAGTTGCTATTGTTCTGCTTTCTACAGCACACATTACTAGTCCAAAGATGAATAATTTCCTAAAGTTATTGGCCGATATCTGTATTAGTCTCAGAAATATTGCAATTAATAGGAAAAAATATGCAATTTTAGTCATTTTTAAGTCTCACGTATCTTATATTTGTAGCTTCCAGCAAAAGATGGCAGCTTAAATAGCTCAAAATTGTTTTCTAAAAACTAATTCAAGCTTTGTTTGATATTGTAATACAATTATAATAATGATAATGTACTTTTTATGATTTTTAATATGACTTTATAGTACCCTACCCCTGGAAAGTGGGCGTGGTCAATGTTATCATTTTGCAGCATACAATTAAAAACTTGTATTGATAGAAAGCAAATCAATGCATATAAAATATCTTCACTTGTTACTTGACAATGTAATTCATTTATTATTAAAATATAGGACTCTACATATTTTATATATACGATTTCAATTTTGTACAATGTATCATAATGAAATCTAATAGGCTGTTTCAATTTACCAACTTTTTCTCGGATCACCCTTACCTTTTGACAAAATGATCTACTATATGACCAATAGCCACAAAAAATAGCAGAACTGATCAACATTTAAACCCCCCCCCCCCTACCCATATGTTTGTTTTGTATGGGGTCCGCCACAATGCAACAAGTCCATTTTCAGTGCTTACTATCACATGGAATATAAGTCACAATGTTTCCACAATATCTGGGCAATGAGATAGTGCCATTTAGAATATGTATGCCCAGATTCAAGATCATGGTGTAAATGCTTGCCGATCTATCGGCTTTCAAAAATGAGGAAAGCTGTGTTGAGTGCCGTTTCAACTAATTTTGAATTAAAACTGCTACTTATGAATGTTTTTCACAACAACTGTGATTTGGTTAGAGTCCAAACACAGGATATCAAGACATAGTGCTACCAAATTCTGGTATTGAAAATTTCAGAGCTCTAGATCAAGTATTCATATCTGCATGGACTCTTAAAAAGACCCAAAAGACACAAAATGCAGTCAGATATCGCGAAAAAATGTGATAAAATGCACTATTCAGAACAATTTGTCTCTTAAATTTTACTTTTATTTACCATAATTTCTGATTCTGCCTCTAGTTAGTAATACCAATAATACATATGAGTAGACTTAAGGTCATAGTAAGTGTAGTTACAGATTTATTAGCATCTAAAAATGGGAGAAGCAGTGTAGCAAGTGCAATTTTCACCTATAATTCATAATATTAAACTGCAGCTTTCGATTTTCTTCTCTAAAACAAGAATTCCGTGAGACCCCAAACGACAGGATTCCATATCACTGCACCACCAAATATATATGAGAGTAGTTTCAGGAGGTTATATCAAATAATCATTGAACCATTGACACCTAGAAATATGCAAAATACAGTCAGAAATGGTGAAATTGTGATTGTGAAAAAATGTATGTATTCTTAACAATTTTTTAACTAAACTGTATTTTATTTAGAACTGAAACTTGAAGTGCTTACTAGGAGTTACACGCTCTCTCATGAAAATATCAATAAGTCCATCCTATACTTTCACATGTTATTCTCCATTTCGTTTTTAAAAATTGTGGGAGCTTTAAACTCTAGAAGAGCTTAATTACCAATTATACCATGCACCCTCCGTCACATTTTTCTTAGGATGGCCAGGCATATTTCAAATTGAAGAGTAAAGTCAGTTAAAGTGATATATAGCTGTATATAACAACGTATCTTTCACTTGATACTTTGATGTCAAGTTTAAGCATTCAAACAGTGTATTTTGTCCCAAGATACAATAAAGTACTGATTTCATTTATTTATCAATTCAGATGCCTTGGAATTAAAGTAAACACTTGGTATATATTACCAATATTATTTTTACTTATTATTGGTGGTACAATGACCAGGTTTCCTTTAATGTCTTTGGTCTTACTGTGCAGTTTGTAAAAAGAAAATTCAGAAAGTTGCAGTCTTAGATGAAAAACTGGTGAAAATCATACTTGCTACAGCTTTTCCCATTTTCAGAAGCCAATAGATCTGTACTTCCACTTACTATGACGTTAAGTCTTCTCATATGTATTATTGGTGGTACTAACTGGAGGCAGAATCAGAAATTATGTCAAATAAAAGTAACATTTAAGAGATAAATTGTTCTGAATAGTGCATCTTTCATCCCTTTCATATTTTTCACGATATCTGACAGTTTTTTTGTCCTTTTGGGTCTTTTTAAAAGTACATGCAGAAGTGAATATTTGATCTAGAGCTCTGAAACTTCCAATATCAGAACTTGGTAGCATTATGTCTTGGTATCTTATGTTTGGGGTCTAAAAAAGTCACAGATGTTGAGAAAAATATTCATTAAGCAGCAGTTTCAGTTCAAAGTTAGTTAAAACTGCACTCACGACAGCTTTCTCTATTTTTGAACGCCGATAGATTGGTAAGTATTAGTATTAGGACCTTGAAACTGCTCATATTATGTAGTCTTTGTGGTACTTTCTCATTGCAAAGGTAATTTGGAAACATTGTGACTTACATTTCATGCGTTAGTGAACACTGAAAATGAAACAGCCTATTAGATTTCATCATGATACATTGTACAAAATTGAAAACGTATATATAAAATATGTAGAGTCCTATATTTTAGTAATAAATGAATTACAATGTCAAGTAACAAGTGAAAATGTTAAAAATGCATTGATTTGCTTTCTATCAATACAAGTTTTTAATTGTATGCTGCAAAATGATAACATTGACCACACCCACTTTCCAGGGGTAGGGTACTATAAAGTCATATTAAAAATCATAAAAAGTACATTATCATTATTATAATTGTATTACAATATGAAACAAAGCTTGAATTAGTTTTTAGAAAACAATTTTGACCTATTTAAGCTGCCATCTTTTGCTGGAAGCTACAAATATAAGATACGTGAGACTTAAAAATGACTAAAATTGCATATTTTTTCCTATTAATTGCAATATTTCTGAGACTAATACAGATATCGGGCTATAACTTTAGGATATTATTCATCTTTGGACTAGTAATGTGTGCTGTAGAAAGCAGAACAATAACAACTATATCCTTTATGTTATGAAATAGTCTCATAGTACCCCCTGAAATCGCAGGAATTGAAGTCCAATTCGGCCGTGAAAATTGTTTTTACCACTTTAAAGGCCATCACCTTATATTTTCTTACACCTACTAGGTTACTCTAACATACTGCATTGCCAAAAGTTACTTCTTCCAAACTTCCGGCAAAACTGTGCCAGCATCTGATACAATTTAGACAATGAAATATTGCCTTTAATTTTATATTACAATTTCCAGATTCTCCCAAAAATTCACAGCAAAAACTCTTTGAAATCCTTTGAAAATCAAATGTTTCAAAAAAATCTTGTCATTAAGATTCCAGGAAAACTACTCCTTGGATTCAATTTTAATTTTTACAGCTTTAAGATAATGTCCAAGTTTAGAGCTAATGACTCTTGTGTACTTTCAAAAATCCGACTGGGTGTTTAAATCTACTTGGTGTTATCTTCTTCAAATACAATATTTATTACGGTCTGTCTTGTTTTAATGATACAAGAAGTGCAGATTTCAAAAACCTGACATTTTTCTAGGGAACTTGAGCTGGTACGAGAGAAGGAGAGGGCACAGAAAAAAGCAAACATGAAGAAATTCAGTACAAGGTGAGGCCTTCATTATTTCATTGTAGTAATTCTACATTTACACAATTTCAATGAACGATGCACAGATGACCAATATTACGAATGTTGTTCAGCTTGTTGTTAGTCCTTAAACCCTATAGAAATAATAGGACACCATGCTTTTCAAAGAGATTGAAAAAGACTTTTTAGAGTAATATTTTGTGCAAAAAGGGATATTATACCAGCCTTCTGGCATACACACCACAGTCTTACAAAATAAAAAAAACATGTAAATATTATGTATATTGCATTACAGGCACTCGAGATTTGGTGGTACATATGTTGTCTCCAATATGCAGTCAATCACTGAGAACAGCATGATATACCATCGATCTTTAGGAGAAGTCAACAATATCTCATTTGATCATGAAAAACGCCCTAAAAAGCGAGGCAAAAATCGTAAACCAATCACAGAGGCAGATTTGACCCGGAGGTCGACGCTTAGCATCCGGATGTTTCTGAAAGATTTCTGCGTGAACTTCCTTGAGAACTGCTATAATCCTCTGATGTATGCTGTCAAGGTAACCAACTCTATGTACATTAGATTTCTAGGTATTGTTGTAAATAGTGGAGTTCTTCAGATGTCACTTTTATACATCTTTTCCTTGTTACTCGGTACAACATTGTATCTATATTTTTTTCCCTGTTTTATAAACCTGACATTTACATGTAACTTGGCACGTAATATAGTTTTATTTTCTTGATTTTTTTTATTATGTGTTGATTTCCATTTACTTTGTATTGCTGAAGTTATTCAACAACAGAGTCAATTTTTTATTAATATTGGATGCATTCCGAGATTACTCATAAACTAAAAATAGCATCCAAAACTCTTTTTAGATATTACATTCTCCTAAAAATACTGCAGAAAAAAACATGAAACAAATAGCCAATTAATACATGATTGCTAAAATATGTATGTTTCCAGGACAACATCAACCATTCTAAGACTCAGGACAATGATGAGACGTACTATCTCTGGGCCATGAGGTTCTTCATGGAGTTCTCCAGACTCTATAAATTCCGGATAGATGTCATAGGGTATGTTAAAAACCTCTTCACTTATTTTTAAGAGTGGGAATTATTATTTAAGGGTTTTACACACAACATTGATTTACAAACAGCCCTTTGGGAGGTTTCATGAAATGATAACCCGTTCCCAATGTTAAAATATGTTAAGGTGTAGTGATTGAGTAGATGGATGTTTTGTTGCATACCAATAATTTTGCTGATTTCAAATTTAGGAACAGTATCTGTGAAATCATAGTATATATTGTACATAAATATATTGAACTAAACATTGAGATACTGAAAATGATTATTTTTCTCCACAGAGAGACAATGTCCTCCCAGGCCTTCCACTTTGTACAGACCAACCTGACAACATACTTTGAGATGATAAGCATGGAGAAAAAGGATGCAAAAATTTGGTCAAGGAGGTAATGTTCAATTTCAGTATTACACAACGATATGACAGTGAATGTATAACAATTATGTTGTCTTTTTATTGTCAAGATGTTAATGATCTCCTCATAACCTTCCTGGCAACCATTTGCATTTATTGATTTATAGTTATAATTAAATTGCAAAAGGTTAATGAAAACACAGGATGAATTTGCACTAAGGGCTGATGTGAAAAAGTCAGTCCACCCAAGTGTTGATATGGAAGAGAAGGAAATACAAAACAAAAAATCAAACATTAATACGATAATACACATTTACAAAATGATTTGACTTATGTGTTTATCCTATAGTTTGTATTATTATTTGCATTTAATAGGGTGCACATTGCTTTGAGGGCCTATTATGAGCTACTACAGACACTCTTTGCAATGGACAGCTCCAAAGATCCACAACTGAGAGAGAGTGCCAATGTGATAAAAGGTATGTCTTTACACATGCATATTGTTAGGATCACAGTATGTAGTGAACATTTTAAGCCAAAAACGGAAACATTTTGAGTAAAATCGTTGAAGAAAACCTATTCTATTCAAAAAATACTGAAATGAATTTAATCAAGTATCTTTGTACAATGTAGAGATCTTCATCACTTAAATATTTAACAGTAAGTGAAAGAATAAATTCATATTTATTTTTCAAATTTTGTTATAATTATGCATCAATTTATAATGCATATGCATACCTTACAACAATAGATCCCAGTAAGTACCATAGTAAGGATTAGATTAGATTTTCTCTGTGAATAACTAAAATTTCTATTTGTGCAGGAAATGTTTTCTACCTCATGGAATACAGAGACACCTTTATCAACTTATTGAAGAACTTCAATGAGAGCAGGCAGTCCAGGTGAGTCTCTATCCCATTGGTAAACTTGCCATTAAACACTCAATAAACATTGATTTTGGAGAGGGGGTACAAGTGCCTTCGGTGAAGCAAGTGAACCATTTTTTAACGTCCCGTTATGTGGAAGATAAAGAAGAGAGCCTCAGTAGAAATCTCACTCATCAAATAGATATGAACTACAATAGGAAAATAGATTAATACCAGTAAAACGGATTCACCTTCACAGTGTTCGCGTTGACGCCGTTTTTTGCCATTTTTACGGAAATTTCAGAAGGTTGGACGTAAAAATCAAAATGAACTTACGTCCCTAGGACGCAAAAATTATAAACTGCTTCAAGATAACTTTTACTGCAGCACAGTAGCGGTGAAACATGATTTTCATCAAGATTTTCAAACTCACTACCTTGATATACGAGCAATGATCCAGGTATATTTATATCGACAAATCTGATTGGCTATCATGACTACCGAAGAGTTTCCAGTATGAGACATGGATTTTGATTGGTTCCGATATATTCCGGAAAATGCCGCAAACGAAATGGAAGATCAAAACATACAATATTGCAGAAATCCCCTGTGGTTCCCCACAAATTGAAACGATTGTTTTTCACGATTATCTTTATTATTTCCACTAGAAACCATTATATATTGATCTAATGTTATACATCAAGATAATTGTTTAATGATAGATCGAGGTTTTTCATCTAAAAGTCTTCAGAATAAGGAGAAATGATAATAAAAAGAAGCAAAAGTTCACGACCTTGACATGACCTTCAAGATCGCAAGTTTGTAAAATGTGAAAACAAAACTCTTAATTTGAGCATTTCCTTAATTCATTTCGGATTATTTTGGTATAACATTACTTAAGAATTGTGTGAAAAGGACCCAGTGATAGATATTTATCGGGAGGATGCATCAAATTACAATATATGTCATTTTTATCCCATTTTAGTGTAAGCACTCTATTATCGCCCACTTTATTTTCACTTTCACAATATTTTCTTGAACTTTGCGAAGAAATAAGAGGGACGCAAAAAAATTAGATGGGGTCTCAGATTTTTCAAATTGGTTGCTTCCCTGGGACTCAAAAATGTTAATGGCTAGCGCGAACACTGCCTTCATATGATAAACAAAGTACTTCAAAATCAATATTGATTGTGATCCACATAGGGCATTCCTGACTGACCTTGTGGATGCTACACACCTCTATACTAAGATGCTTGAGAAATATTCCAAGGGGCATAGTCATCTGATGGTGCAGAAAAAACGCAAGAAATCCAAAAAGAAGAAGAAGCAACAAGCAGGTATGTGTTGTAACTTATATTGGCAAGCAGGTATGTGTTATAAATTATATTGACCATCCTGTATATGTATACCTTCCTTGCTGCATTCAATACAAAATAAAATGATTAAAAGGAATTAAATTTCTATTTTAGCCCCACCTCCAACTGTTGAAGCAGAGTTTTCTCCAGAGCAACTCGATGACATGTGGGATGAAGTGTCCAGTGACCTGTCTGCAATATTCCAGGGTCGGGGGAATATTCCTGAAGATGTAACTCCATTTGATGCTGCCTCGGAGGAAGACATAGACCAGCAGAGGTAAAAGGCTACTTATTGCATACTGAGCTCTCGCGCTGTCCTTGAACGATACACTGAGATGATTCATATTTATTTACAACATGGGTTCATCTAGGGCTGATTGGCTTGTTGCTTTCATGTTAGGCTCATATTCCTATTTTGAATTTGGAAAAAAGCATTACAACTGATCCATGATTCCTTTACATTCAGCAGCTTCAAAATAAGCTGTAAAATGATATAAAGTTTTTCAAATACATCAAGATAAGAAGCCAATATTTCTGTTACTCTCAAACTGCTAATGAATTAATGTTTCTTTTGTATTAAGAATGGATGCTATGATGCGGGTGCAGGAGTCACTGAGAGAAAACAGACCAGGGGAGGCTATTGCACTGTTTAGGGCTGCAAGGTAATTTATATTATATTAATAATATATTACTGACATTGTCACTGTATTGATCTAAAAATAATACATGCAATGTGACATTATTTACACTAATACCATCATTGTTTTATCATTTAAATTGTTTTATTGAATGAAATGGATTGAAATGTATGTATTTGACTTAACATGAATCTCCTACCAAAGCTGTACTTTTGCTATAAAATGCTGGTATCATATTCATATACCTGCTATATTTAGAGAGGTGTGGCCAGAGAATGATGAATTTGGCTCAGCTGACATGTCGCCAGAAGATGAATTCATGGCACTTAGAGAAGTCTTCATGGCAAACCTACACCGTAAGACTTTAAGACAGTACATGTATAACAACTAGATTTGTTATTAATAACTCAAGAAAGGACAATCTATTCCATATCAGATCTTTTAGAGTGAGAGCATTTGTATCAACCAATTTTGCTCACAAGTATTGATATTTGATATCTATGATCTACAAAATCATATCAAGAGAAATTACTTGATATCGGGTCGAGTTTATCCCATGATTACAATCAAATATTTGGCAGAATAAATTATGCAGCTTACTTTCCAAAAATATTGAAATAACGTTTTTCGGACTAGCTGATTTAGTTTTGCATGTATAAAGAAACAAATAACATGACAACTTCTCTGAATTTACTTGTGACCTGTAGATTTGTAATTATTTCCTAAAATTACTATGTATTAATGATGTATTTTTAGAGCCAGCACCCCCTCCCCCACCTATAGAAGAGTCAGACCACTCACAAGAAGAAGGTAGGTGCATTTATCGCATGATCTGTAAAATGAAGCCCTCTGATTGGTCAGTTCTTGTGCTGTACCAATCTGTATTGCTACTGAGATTGTCTCCATTGATCATCTCCAAAGCAATACAGAAAATATTGGTATGAGGTGGGGACAATCTCAGTAGCAATACAGAGATTACAGAATAATTCTTAGGGATTATCTCCTGATTAAAATGTTTTGGCCTAAGATCACACGATAAAAACGTTATTAAATAACAATTAATAATAAATTAATTGGTTTTATGTGTTTTTTATGGGAGTTAGTCAATTATAACATTTCAATTCTGAAGTTTGCATGTAAACAAAACTGGTTGCCAGGAGATACAGTTCAATGTAGGTCAACGCGCACGCGCAGAAAATCATCAATTTCCTTCCATTTTTTATTGAGGCTGGAGGTAGCTCTTGATATCTGAGCGAATCTTGTAAGTATTTACCCGCCAACCCTCCCCTAAAAAGACCACCCATGAATTATCCCCCAACTAAGGTGAGATCAAGAAAATGGTAAAAGAGATATGGTTAGTAATAAATGAAGGTAAGCAATTAAAGTAATCACTATTATATTGCTCAAATGTATATCTTTAATGACTACTCCCTAAAAACCCCACATAGACCAAAAATACAAATAAATGATTTGAAGTGCAATACAGGATATATTCTGTCTCGATATTCTGTATTGGCACTCCAATACAGAATTTCTCGAGCAGAATATATCCTGTATTGCACTTCAAATCATTCAATAACTTATGGTCTTGTTTGGTAGATCTTTATGCTTTTTCAAGTTTGGAATTGAAATAACCATCAAATAAACAATTGTATTTTCCTTTGTTTTTTTAGATACAGAAGATGAAATGCCACAGTTCCATGAAAGTGAAACTGAGTTTGAATTTGGAGGCTTCATCAGAAGGTATGTATATAGGCTTACAATACGTCTTATGTACAATAGGATGAAGATGATGTGATCATACAAATGTCTCTACTGTTGAAGTAGTTGAAATTCCTTTTTTTACCCAGTTGGGATTTTGAAAACTTCAGATGTTTTGTTGGTTAAAAAAGGTAAGGGGAGAACACTGACATAATTAGGTTTTTTATTGTCACCATCACATGACATAAAGTTACTTTTTTCTGGATGGTGTTTGGCATTCAGCATGTGTAACAAATGGCAGGTTGTCTCATTTTTCTTGTTAATGCCTTGTTGAAGTAGACTTCCTCTAAACCAGCCAGCACTAAATGACTGAACAACTTCATTGTATAATCCATTCATTCAAAAGGCGTAGAATGTTTTATGGATTGTAAATTCTGAAGAAAAAGCTAGTTCTCTGGGAAACAAAGGTGTTAAATTTGTCAACTTTTATTCCTAGGTTCTGCCAGACAAACGTCCTGAAGGCCTACACTCTATTGTTTGCTGACTTTAAGAAGAACTCCAACCAGACAAACCATGCATGTGTAAAGATGTTTCACCGCATGGCTGTAGATCTAGACCTGCCTGGAATGTTGTTCCAAATGAGGCTATTCAGGATCTTCCAAGAAATAATGTTCCACCCCTCAGCTAAGTCACAGCATATGAAGGTACAAATAATTGGTATGGTACTCGTTGTGAAATTACATTGTGAAACTACAAGTTTTGTGTCAGAAACTTGCAAAGAAAGATTAAGGTCATTTATATTTTGTAAATTATAGTTAGAATACTAACTTTTAAAACTACACTAGCATCAGATTGTATATATTTTAGATGCTATAATAAATGCTTATTCAAACTTTATTTTTGATCCAGGAGTTGGTGAAATTTGCCCACTTCATTGTTCGCAAATTCTTTGAGGTTGCGGCTAAGAATGACAAAGTGTTCATTGAAATTTTATTCTGGAAGAATGTACGTGAATCCACTGAGTTGATGGAGGGAGGTTATGGCACCTATAAAGCAGAGTAAGTCATGTTATGTTTCCAGTACCCTGAACAAGTGTGATTTGATCTGCCTCACTCTTTATAATACTGAAAAATCTTGAAAACGCTTACTCAGTCAGAGTCTGTCATTGCTCAACCACAATTTTTTGTGTAAATGTGTTAGAATGTATAAAGATTGGTTGATGTCTAGTAAAGTAATTGAGTCAAGTCAGAGGTTGGTGTGTTTGCTGAACTACTAAATTCTTGTAAAAATAAAAAGTCTAAATCATAAATTGAATGTAAAGTAATTCTTGTGACCATTCACTAATTGTTGTTGTGTGTTGCAGGGCAAAGAGTGGGAAAGTTTTGTGGTCAGAAGAAGAGGAGATGGAACTGCAGCAGCTTTATGAACAATACAGGGATATGGAGGGCGGAGGTGAATACTAGATTTATTCTATTTTTGCTCTATGAGCAATAATCTTGTTTCCATTTTCCAAACCTCTGTACAATCAGATGGGAAATTCATCACTTACAATCAATGATGAGATTCCTACACTTTATATGATTGTAATAATAAAACATAATGAATTAATATTTAATCCAGTCATTAAAACTTTGATTTTAGACCTTGATGTGGTAGACAACATTATGGTTCATATCATAGACCAGACCAAGACCAGGAGGCAGATAATCAAGAAACTTACAAACTTGGAACTTATTGAGAATGCAGCATCTCTGAAAAAGTCCAAGGGGTAAGCAATTTGGAATAACTCTATCATGGGTAGTGAACAGGATGCCATCAAAATGTGTGCTTCTCCGAATAAGACCAGAATTTGACAATAAAGAATAAATGATCCCATATGGGAAAATAACATGTGGATCAATACACTGTAAATTGGAGTCATATATATGAAAAATGAATTTGAGAATTAATTTTGAAGAGACAATTTTTCATGGGTGTTTTAGAGTCCAGTTGTGAAGGATTATTTCGATGGGGATTGTTTACCAGGAGTTTTAGACTATTTTATTTGCTTAGATTTATGATTTGCATCAGTGTAGTCAAGAACTGGAACATTTCAACATATCTCACCATGCATGACCTGGATAAATGTATGCTCTACATTATAGTGGTGCTCCAAGGGGTGTGTGGCTGGAGGAACATGAAGCAGAGTTGAGAGAACTGTTTGAGAAACACAAGGATGCTGATGGTAAGTAAACACTTCTGGGATGTATAATTGAAAATGGTGATTTAAGTCCCAATTATTTTTTGATAAATAACATTCATGCCATAGCATTACATCTATACGATCATTGTCACCCATATTATATGTATTTTTGCAAGGTAGAGGTCAATTTTCTGATCAACAAGATCTGATGAATAAATGTTAGCTGCTCTAGAGAGCACTAGTCACTAAAGATTAAGACCCAAACACCCTCAGTATTATGACTTCGATGTATCCAATACAATATTTTAAAATGTAACTTCCAGACATCATGGGTAACATTATACCTGAGATGAGCATAAAGCGGTCCAAGAAGAAGGTGCAGGACAAGATATTAGAACTGGGCCTGGTGACAGACAAGACAAAGCTATACAAAAGACGAGCAAGAAAATCTGGAGGAAAGAAAGGGAAGAAGGGAGGCAACCCATGGGAGGAGGGAGCCAATGGTAAGGAAAAATGCACCAATGTTAATTAAGAAACACAAATAATGGTTGTTTCTTTGTATAGCACTTGACTTTTAGTGTGTGATTGATCCTTATAGTCTCCATATAGCGAGATCAATAGTGCAAGAAAACAAGCAAATAGTTCATTCATGGAACGAAGCGTGAAACTTTCCACATATCATCAGAATACCATTCCCTTTGATTTAAGAGCCAGAGCCATTTTTGTGGTCCACTAGAATGATCAAAAAATACTAAGTACCCCCTCCCCCCAAATTCAGTGGGGGTGGGGAGAGTTAGGAATTTTTTTTAATAAAAAAATTTCTTTGAATATGGTCATACTGCAGTTTCAGTGTGCCATTTTCATGACAAAGAAGTTTTGCAACATAACAAGATGATTTATCATCGATTTTCATCATTGTTAAAGACTAGTCATGGGCGACGCCCACTTTTCATATCTTGAACATTTAGGTTATTGAATCTTTATCATGAGTTGAACAAATGAATGTACTTCAGCTTTCTGGATAACACCAGATACCTTTTTGATGTTAGGTGCTATAATCAATCTTAGAATTTGACTTCTTAAAGGCTTATAACATATCACACCCCTGTTTAGAAGAAAGAAGAAAGCAAGCAACGGATGTCCCAGATCTACAACATGTATCCACTATTCTATGTACATGTATGTCAAGTCTCTATATTCTCCTCAAGAGAGCCTATGCTATAGATACAACTGTCCAGAATCTAGTTGATGAAGTGCCTAAACAGTTTGATGAATCGTGTGCTGACCAAGTGCCTAAACAGTTTGATGAATGGTGTGCTGACCAACAGAATGTACCAGTCTTCAAGCTTTGGTTTCTGATTATTCAAATTCAAATATTGAGCCTTGACTATGTGAGGGTTATAGGACAGGAGAATTTTCCTCTTTATCTCCAGATGGTTTCTCTTTGATTTTCATCATTGTTAAAGACTAATCATGGGCGACGCCCACTTTTCATATGCTGAACATTTAGGCTATTAAACCTCTTTCATGGATTGAACCAGAACCAGAAGGGCCACCACAGTCACAGGCTGCAGTCTCTAAATTCTCAAGAGAGCCTATGCTAAATATACAGCTGTCCAGAATCTATATGATGAAGTGATTTAACAGTTTGATGAATGGTGTGCTGACCAACAGAATGTACCAGTCTTCAAGTTTTGGTTTCCTATCATTCTAATCGAAATACTGTGCCTTAACTAAGTGTGGGCTATCAGAGAGGGCAATTACCCTCTTTATCTCCAGTCAATATGGTTGCTGATTACTAGTTCACATAAGGGATATGCTACAACTCCAACAAATACATCCAGAAGTCTATGAAGCCTTCACCAAAGACTTCTTCACTGTTACCAATTCAAGATGGACCTTTTCAGCCATTGCTACTGACCAGGTTCACAAGCAGAATAACAGTCTAGATAAATCAAGTGGTGGGGCTCTTTGACAACCAGACAACTCTAGTGGATGGTTGGGGGCCCTGAATTGGCCAGGCTGATCACTGAATTTGAGAACAATATAAATAATGATCAAGATGAAGACCTATCTAATCATGAACAAAGTATAAGCATACAACAAAGATTCAAAGATAATGTGAAAGCATTATAAGAAACCATAGAATAGATGAGAAATCCCTTCTGGAGACTTCAAATGACATGTACTCATTAGAAAACAAAGATATTGTATCCTCAATATCAGTCCAGAAGAAGTGAGTAGCTCCCATAATACTATCATTCTTTCGTGTACTTATAATTTATTTAAAAATCACGATCATCAGTATACGATGTCCAATCAAATTGCAGGATATGATCATGTTCAGTGCCCAAAGGTAGATGCGATGTTACCATCAAATTGGAATTTATTAGAGATGATATAAACAATGTATTGTAAGATGTATTATTATATCCCCCAATGCCCATTCAAGACATTTCCCCATCAACACATGAATAAGCACATCCACCATGCAGTAAAGTCTGGGTACAACACATTGACGATTAGAACAGTAGACTGATATTGTCTGTCTGGCAGTCAGTATATCATCAGAACTCAAAGTTAAAAAATAGATAGTTTTGGAAAAGGTGAAAAATTAAAGATATCTCACTTCCCATGAAATGGCAGCTGCCCTTGGACATGGTAGGGCTATGTGTCTCCCCTTATTTCATGCCCACACTGGTTCAGACACTACATCTGGATTCCACGGTTAATTAAAAACAACAGCATGGAAAAATTGGATTACTTATCCGAGTTGACAAATGCACTTAAAACTTTGGCTGAAGATCCAAATAAGTTAGCCAAAGTTATGCCAATTATTGAACGTTTTGTTGTGATTTTATACAATAGAGACAACAATGAAACAACTGTAAATGCTGCAAGACAAGAAATGTTCACAAAGAAAACAAATCAAATTGAGAGCATCCCACCAACATAAGTTGCATGCTTTACAACAGCATATCAAACATGTTCTATTCCAGGCAGTTTATTTGTGGGGCCAATTATACCTATGTCAGTCCTCCCTTCAATTGGGTTGGGAATCCATTACCACAAAGGCTGGGAAAATGATTTGGGTGCCAGTGTGGAAAACATTGCCCCAAGCTTCAGATGCATGCCAAATGCTAGTAAAATGCAGCTGCAAACAACAATGCTCAACAAAAAGATGCAAGTGCTTTAAAGCCAATCTTGCATGTACTGCCCTGTGGGGACTTGGCACCTAAGTCAGTGATAATGATAATAGAGTGTTGAAGTGCTTAAATGCACAAAATAGGATATTTGAACTGCAGTTAAGATACTTAATAAGGTAACTTGTATCAATTAGTCAAAGTGCTGTCATTAAAAGTCAAAATAATGTATCATTAATTGTGAATTCTATATTATCATATCTTTATATCTACAAGAGGGTGTGGCCTTTCACAAGCCTTTAACAGTGAAATTGACTTACTTACAGCATCCATCATCTTAACATAAATAACTGACTTAATCTTATCAATTCTATTCAGCCTTATTAGGTAATTATTGTATTCATAATAGAAGACTCATTAACTTGTATATTTAACATGTTGATAAAGTGGGCGTCGCCCTTGGTCAGGCTTTAACAATGAATATCCATGAGAAATACTGATGCAATCTTGAAAATTGCTTTTAAATACTGAAAATAACATACTAAAAATGAAGTTAAATCATATTCAAAAAAGAAATTCAACAAAAAAATAATTCTTCCCTCCCCCTCCCCCAGGATTTTTATGGGAGGGGGTATTTGCAATTTCCGGTCATTCTAGTGAACCACAAAAATGGCTCTGGCTCTTAAATCAAAGGGAATAGTGTCCTGATGATATCTGGAAAGTTTCACGCTTCGTTCCATGAATAAACTATTTTTGCACTATTGATCTCGCTAATAGTATAAATGCGTAATAAATTTTGAATGAACATTTTTTCCAGTATTTCAGAAACCTCATGTACATGTAATTTCCAGGTTCATGCTATCTGAACAGTCTCATGTTAAATATCAATTGCACTTAAACACATTGTAGCACACATTTCTGCACTACATCTACCCTACTGCATCTAAAATTGTTTTATCACACAGATGAGCTCTTACCTACCGACTCAAGCAGCGATGATGATCCAGCCCACAATGATGCCCATCACCCTACTAGTGAATCCTCCATGTCCAGTGATGGTGAGAGTAGTGATAATGAAGAACCATCTGCTGATGATGCCACTATCACACACTCTGAGCAAGCTACTGGGTCTGTTAAAGACATGATGGTGAACGTAATAGAAAATGGTAAACAAATAAATCATTGACCATATACAGTTTACTTGAATTTCTAAATGTAGCTATAGGTACATGTAAACCATTGTACCATTTATCATGCAATACTTATATTTTTATTCTTCTTGATTCCACGAAGTGATGACATGCTGTTACAGGTCTCGTTTTGAGTGACTGGCATTGAATGTCAGTGTTTAGTATTCAGCATCTGCAACAAATCGTTACACTGTTGTTGCAATTTGTAATAACAATAACTAAACATATCAATGGGGGTATTTTTGTCATGTTATTATTTGACAATTCTTGCTAAAACATTGCATATTTGATGCATTGTAGGTATGAGTGATCAGATTGTGTGGATAAAGGAAGGACTTCAGAGAACTGCTGCAGACAAGGAGGAGGATGGTAAGAAATACTCTCATAAAATGCTTGCTTATCTCATTTGCGATGTGATTTGTACAAATATTTCCAGATTGATGTACAAAAATGCATTTTATGTACAAATACATTGTAGAATTTCTATTAAAGTGAAATATTAAAAGAAAGGCTTTGCCAACCATTTAAAAAGAGTACATATAAATCTGTATTTTGCTGAAACCTCAGTTGAAATACTCGATTGTGATTCAATTCTCAATATTTTCGACTATTCCCCATGCAGTGGGACATTGCGTTAATTTGAACAGAGCGCAAGTGGAAATGCCTTGATTTCCCAGTGGTTATATTCCAGGAGATGATGGGGACCCTATCCCAATAGTGCCGATCACAGAGGAGAACTGTGATGCCATGGAGAATGCAACATTTGCCCAGTTCCTACAAATCATTGGGATTACCCCTCCCTCTGAAGATAACCAGGTATAAATGTTGATGATGTTTGAAACAAGAGGTTGTCTCTAATGTTAAGGCTTAAATTTAACATGTTGTCTATTATATTAACTGTTAGCCTAACTTCTTAAATTGTTGAGGAAACAGATTTTTGAAAAAAATTTCTTCAATAAAATAGATTTGAATAATGATTTTAATTTTTTTGTTATGAAACTGTAAATAGCCACACAGATACCATGCAACGCATTGATATTCACATAGCATTTAGACTAATATATTCCAATTTACACATACCAATAAACAAGTAATAGACAGTTATTTACATGTTTTATAGCAAGCATTTTGGCGCATCCCTGGTTCTATGTCAGCTCCTGCACTATGCACCCTTGCTGATGCCTTAGACCCTGATGACCCAGACAAGGCAAACACCATAACACCAGTTCAAGCCAAACAGCCTAAGAAGAAAGACCCAAGGAAAAAGATGTTGAAAAAATTAGCCAAACAAAAGAGAAAAGACAGGAAAGCAAAAGAGAAAGATTCAAGGCATAAGAAAAGGTATTCGGTGTTTTGCATCTGTAATCTTAATGCCTTGTCTTTGTTTACTGGTCTTGGTTTTTCCATGCATTTCAATTTTTTTTATGTAGCAGATTAAATTAAAATTCATAGGTCTAGCATATCATCTAAACAGTATTTATCTTTTCTAAAGGTTACTTTTTACTGTTAGTATTTCATTTAGCTATTTCATTTTTGTTAAAAACATACAGGTACATGTGTGGGGCACTATACATTTACTCTATCAATACATTTTCCATTCAGATGTCAGAAGTACAGTTGTGCCTGGTTTAATCCAAGAAATCTACAATCACTGCAACAACCTTAAAAATTATGTTTTAGGATGAATGCTGCCAACTTTGCACTGACACCCAGCACTAGTGGAGAGAAACCTAATAAGACCAAGAAGAAATCTAGATTAAGGGCTCCCATACGAGATAACTCCTCAGACAGTGATAGGTAGGTACATCAAGTGATGCAGTATATACAGTCATAAAGTTGTGTTATTGACCCAATAAGTAAATCAACTTATTAAATGTGGTGAATACTATATATAGGGTGTCTCAAAAAAATGTACCCAAAAGTATATCAACACCATAGACAAACTGATCGATATTTTCATACATTTTTTGCATGATCTTGTAGATAAAAGATGAAATTTTTTCCCCCTATACACAGTTTTTAATTCAGTTTTACCCTTTTGATACTTTAACCCGTTACCTTTTACACCACATATTCAATGTAACCTCATATTTCGATGACAGTGTGCATCCTTACTACTATATTGTTCATCACATTTGATATATCTGATGGAATGTTTTGATTTCTGTTCGGATGCTGGTCTAAGTTGTTCTCGGTCTCTTTGCTTGGGTTTAGCATAGAAATGGTCCTTCAAATAGCCTCAGAGAAAAAAGTATGGGCCGTCAAATATGGTGAATAGGGAGGCCCTCATGATGTCTTATAGCCCCCTTATACAGAGAGGTCAGAGGTTCAAGAAACTGCATTGCTTGGGATTCTAATGTAGCTTTTGTTTGTGTATCAATTTGAGACCACTGTGTTTTCATTTGGGCATGATTTGGTCTCCAGGCTAGCCTGCCTAACTCTGGAAGGTAATTCCTGAATCATTTGACGATAATTGACCTGATTATCTGTGTTTGTTCTGCCATCGTCATCCTCAAACATCTTTCTCTGTGGCTATTTGAAGGAATGTTTTAATGATCATTCCAAGCAAAAAGACCTAGAACAACTTAAGGGCAACATCCAAAGAGAAATCCAAAACATTCCACCAGAATTATTATCAAATGTGATGAACAATGTAGCAGTAAGGATACAGGCTGTCATCGAAATATGAGGTTACATCAATTATGTGGTTTAAAAGGTAAAGGGTTAAAGCATCAAAAAGACAAGACTGAAATAAAAATGGTGTATTGGGGAGAAAACTTTTATGTTTTGGCTACATGACCATGCAAAAAATGTCTGAAAATATTGATTGGTTTATCTGTGCTCTTGATATACTTTTGGGTACATTTTTTTGAGACACTCTGTTTTTGTAGAAATATGAAAGTTAACAAGCACATGAAATATTTAATGGAAAGAAAACTAATATAATTTAGTAATATTGAATAAACAATAAAACTTACCGGTTATTTTCCAATTATTCTGAGGCATTATATTAGTTTTAATTATTAAAAATACTGTTCTTCAATATTTCAGTGATGCTGACAGATTGATCATAGACACTTCTCATGCTTCACCTGTGAAATCAAAGGCGAAGAAAACCCAGAAAGCCCCTGAACCGAAAGAAACTGAGAACCAGTTCAAATCAAAGGAGTTCATAAGTGATGATGATAGTAGTAGTGATGATGATAAACCACTAACTAAGAGTAAAAAATCAACTGATTTTCCAAGATCCCAAAAATCTGGAATGGATAGTGACTCTGATAGTTCAGTGGAATTAGACAGGTCTACTAGCCAAAGATCAAGTAGAGGATCAAGGAGTCCAAGTCAAAGATCAAGGAATTCAAGTCAAGGATCTAATAGATCTAGGAGCTCCAGTCGAGGATCAAGGAGCTCTAGTAGAGGTTCAAGGAGCTCTAGTAGAGGATCAAGGAACTCCAGTCGGGGATCAAGGACCTCTAGTAGAGGATCAAGGAGATCAAGTAGGGGATCCAGAGGATCAAGCCGGGAATCAAGAAGTTCAAGTAGAGAATCTAATATATCTGCATCTGGGCACAAGTCAGAATCAGATAAGGAAAATGAGAAGCCAAGTCAGGTCACATCAGACTCTAGTTCCGATGATGAACCATTAAGCATGCAGCGTAAACGTAACAGAAACCCTACTCAGTCTAGTGACTCAGAATCAGACACCAATCATTCAAAGAAACCAACATCTAAACGAGCACGGCTTGGTAGTGACAGCGATGAGGATGATAGTAATGATAAAACTACAAGTGATAAATACAAAGATTTAGCATCATTTCCTGCAACAATGATGAGTCAGAACTTCTCAGATTCAGATTCTGATGTGAATGATCACATTCCACTAAGGAGAGCTGTGAAGAGAACTGCCATTGAAAGTGACAGTGAATAATACAGTGAATGATAGTGCTATTGTGAATTATAGTGCTATTGTGAAATATAGTGCTATTTTGAATTATAGTGTTATTGTGAAATATAGCGCTACTGTGAAATATAGTGCTATTGTGAATGATAGTGCTGTTGAGAATGATAGTGCTACAGTAAATTATAGTGCTATTGTGAAAAATAGTGCTACAGTGAATTATAGTGCTGCTGGGAAATATAGTGCTACAGTGAATTATAGTGCTGCTGGGAAATATAGTGCTATTGTGGATTATAATGCAACAGTGAATAATACTGCTAAATTGACTCATATTAATTGCTATTGTGTTTTATTAAAGCTTTTTATTTGAGGATCTTATTCCTAATGATCAATCTGTGAAATGTTATGTCATTACATAAAAGAGAATTGAGAGACTATATCTTATTTCAGTTTCATATTCCTAATGACTAATTAATTATTAATTCACTGTCTGTCATGCATACTTTGATAAATGACATCATTGTTTGTACTAATATTTGTTTTAAAAGACCAGGACTAGGAAAATTGATATATTTTAAAATGTATGTTAAATGGAAATGAGTTTTCCAAGTATTCATTTCTAATCATGAGAACAATATATTATTAGGAGGCCCCATCGGGGGGCCTCCTATCAATTTTGTAGATATTATTCTTTATTATTATTCTTTATTATTTATTCTTCCTCCCTCTTTTTCTCCTACTTCCAACTACCTTTCAACTAGGTACTACATAGTACTACTAGGGACCTGGGCTGAACTTGGCGGGAAAGGAATTTTTATCTAGGTCAAGGTCAAAGGTCAAAATCTAGGTCAAATCTAAGTTTTTTTCAAGTTTCTCAAATGCTGACACTACACTTCAATATTTTTGGCTGAATCTTTGCACACAGATAGATATTAGTCTTCTATTAGTCTTAGCCTTTTGCCGTCTAGAGAAATTTTGCTTAGATTTTGAGATATTGAAGGTCAAAAAAAGGTCAAAAAAGGTCTTTTTTCAACTTGCTTCAAATTGACCAATTTTTTTTTTAAAACTCATCTACAAGTTCTCAGGATTCCAAATCTGACCTTTCTTTTGACCTTTGACCTTTGGTTGACCTTCAGTGACCTCCGAAAGGTCAAAAAAGTTGATTTTTCAAATCGATTTTCTGGATTCAAATTTAGGTATATCTATTCACAAAAGACCTTCTGAGGTCTAAAAAAGTAAAATTTGCAAGGTCAAAGGTCGAGGTCATCAAACGAAATCACAAACTGTGTTTTCTAAGTTTCTCAAAATTGGACACTACAAATCAATTTTTTTTACTGAAAGTCAGAATATATATTCCTCTAAAGGTTCTTCACATATTAGCAATTGACTATTTATTAAAATTTTGCTCCAGTTTTGAGATATTAGAACTCAAAAACTAAAAAAAGGTCAAATTTCGAAATTTTTCATAGTCAAATTTCAACTTGCTCTAAATTGACCAAACTTTTTTTTAAAAAGCATCTACAAGATCTCAGGAACTCAAATCTGACCTTAGTTTTGACCTATGACCTTTTGTTGACCTTCAGTGACCTCCCAAAGGTCAAAAAAGTTGATTTTTCAAATCGATTTTCTGGATTCAAATTTAGGTATATTTATTCACAAAAGACCTTCTGAGGTGTAAAAAAGTAAAATTTGCAAGGTCAAAGGTCAAGGTCATCAAACGAAATCACAAACTGTGTTTTCTAAGTTTCTCAAAATTGGAGACTACAAATCAATTTTTTTACTGAAAGTCACAATATATATTCCCCTAAAGGTTCTACACATATTAGCAATTGACTATTTATTAAAATTTTGCTCCAGTTGTGAGATATTAGAACTCAAAAACTGAAAAAAGGTCAAATTTCGGAATTTTTCAAGGATAAATTTCAACTTGCTCTAAATTGACCAAACTTTTTTTTAAAAAGCATCTACAAGATCTCAGGAACTCAAATCTGACCTTAGTTTTGACCTATGACCTTTAGTTGACCTTCAGTGATGAGACGTGTAGAATTGTGTGGCAATGAAATATTTATATTGTTACAAAGCTCCTTGAGTAGTACTATATATAGTGGACTTAAAATGGATAATTATGAATTAGTCGATGATATACATTATGACTAATGTGAAGTGAAATGAAAAGATTGTTAGCAAAATTGTATGTGGAGGAGAATCAAATATACCAAGCAACATTATCAATACTAGTATTTGTCTCAATTTTAGAATACTTTTGGCTCATACCGTTCGTTGGTGTATTTACTTTCTAAAAAGCCATATTGCTTTATGTGAGGAAAATTCAAGTTGTTTTTACAACAAAGTGTTGACTGCTTTATGTGATTATGACATTTATTAAAAAACATTCCACAATTATCTGGTATATTTGAAATGGTGGAGAATACATTGGAATGTCAATAGTACATGTTGCTTGTAATTTTGTTACCCCTGTAGCTCTGATTCTGCCTTGAATGTCTGGACTGAGGGAACATTCACATTCTAATGTAAAATTTGAACACATACAGTAGTTCAATCAAGACACAGAAGAAATGATTTAAAGTGTATCATAATATGACATTTCATATTTATTTAAAGGTTTATCCACGCAGGTCAAAGAATTACATTATGGCACTGACAAAAATCGTATTGAAAAATGTCATATGAGTTTCTACAAACGGATAAACAAACAGATGAACACATGCTGGACTACAAAATAAGTACAACATGAACCTAAGAAACATACATTCTCCATTCCAATTAAAATGTTTTCCTTAACACGTTGAATTGTTTTAGAAAACCTGAAAGTTGTAAGACAGAGAAATAAATAAATGATCAATATGAGACTAAATAATTACTTGCATATATACCATGGTTCCTCTTGGCAATTATAATGCCCCTGATTTGGATGATGCCAAGTACAGGATATGTCACAGAATGTCTTAGCCATATGTATTTTTATTTAGTTTTTATTTATTTAGTCCATTAGATATGCTGTTTAGAACGATATCCTATAAAGAATAGGCTTATACAGTTCATCAGACAGCAATGATGTATGTATATACTTCAGTTGTCCTTCGTGCTGATACGACTTACATCATATGACATACTTATGTACATTCTGTTTAATAGTACACTTTTCACTTTCATGGCTTTCAGGCACTCATTTGGTGCAATTCGGAGTGATAATATAAGGATGTCCTTTAAGCACATATATGGTGTAATATTCCTTAGTCATTCATACGAGTTTCACATGCTGAATAAAATTCTATTGTTTAGTTCATCAGTTGATGTCTCAAGATGACATTCGCTAAATGAGTTTTAATGGAGGTATAAACAGTTGATAAATCACTGCTTGATTGCATGATTTAGGACATCCCAGAGTTTATTATTTTCTGCTGCAGGTTGTTGGCTCAGTCAAGTAGATGTTAACAGAATATAGTTATTATATTAAACCAACAATAAATATGATAATACAATATACTAATCCTTATATCCCATCCTTTATCAACAAATTGATTATACACTTACAATTTCACCATTTATAGAATTTTGACACTGTCAGATACAATGTTATTGATACAACAATTGTTACATCATATCATGCCATTAAGTAACAACAATAATAGCTAAGTATAATTCAAGGCAACTGACTGACAATCATGAAGTCAAAAGTTGTAGCTTCTGGGTATAATATATCTACAGTATATACACAGTCTCATGGCAAAAAGTCAATATTGTTTCTCCAAAGAGTATAATTGCTATACAAAGCTACAGTTTTATGCTATACACTTATATTACCTATTCAACTTAGTTACAATGTTGCAATTAAATATAACTAACAAACAGTTGCTACATGGTAAAAAACTATAAAGCAACCAATGCAAGTATTGGGTTCAATATACATATATTAAACAATTATAATACTTGTACATTATATATTATACTTCAGAGTACAACATAGTAATGTTATACAACAAGCCATGACGTACCATTTTGAACTTCGGGGCATAACATTATCATATTGTACAGAACTGCATGGTAAAGTAACATGAAGTTGCAATTTCAACTTCAGGGTATAGCAGGGTAAAAACTTTTTACCATATCACAAGTTTAAGTTACTTCATGTTTATAAGTACTAAAACTATGGTTCATGGTTCATTTGCTAAAAACCATTGAGTTAAAATTGCAATTTCAGTTTATCATAGACTTATATAATTATACAGATCTACAATTGAAGATATCCAAATTACCATTGTAACAACTTCAAGTTGCTTCATGTTTTTTTACTAAAACCATGAAGTAACAATTGCAAGGTCGGACTGTCACATGCTAAAAACCACTCAGGAACAATTGCAGCTTCAAATTATAATTTACCTACTGGTATATTATACAAAGCTGCAATTCAGAGTATTATATATTTGTACATACAGATATAATTAAGCTAGCCATACACTTGGCGGACTTTCTAAGACTTTGTCCGTTTTATCTGTCCAAGATTGTCCTGTTTTGTTCGATGATGTCCTGTTTTGTCAAAAAATAGTCAAATCATCATTATGTGAATTAATGCTTTTGAATTTGTCCGGATAACAGAATTGACAAGTTAATTCTTTCCAACGGACATAAATGAACTAACTCAGAGAAAAAACGGACAAACTTGGACAAAACGGATAATGTTCGGTGGACAACCCTGGAGAAGCTGAAATTGTCCAAGGTTTTCTGCTAAAAATATTTTACTCTATAGCTCCCTTGATGTCGGAGTTTGTCCGGCAAGTGTATGGCTAGGTTTTAAGACAACAAATCATCAGTTTTTTACATTTTAAAATACCATGACTGATTAACAGCCTTACACGAAATCAGAATCCGAATAAAATAATTGTAACTTCAAAGTATACCATATATCACACAAAGCTGCAATTGAAGACAACATGATGTTGTCACACAGTAAACCATGGAGTAACAATTGTACCTTCAGTGTATAATATATTTGTGTAATACAAAATTAC